CAGCATACGAGGAGGAGCCGGAGATGGCCGCGCAGGCCATTGATGAGTTGGTGGCGTTTGGGAAGAAGATTGTGCCCAGAGAATTTTGGGGCAGGACGAAAATCCGGCTAATGGCCACGGCAGGGATGAGGTTATTGGAGTCTGAGGTGCAAGAGATGATAATGGGTGTCTGCCGGAAAGTCTTGAAGGGTTCTGGTTTTATGTTCCAGGATGATTGGGCAACTGTTATACCAGGTTTATGAACTGCAGCTTCTATCTTAGTTGTTCTGTATAATTACATGTGTGAATATGCATAAGGTTTTTGGCCAAGTCTTTGTATATATAATCTCCAAGGCATAGTACTTGCTTCATTTTAAAGAAGTTTAATGATGATTTTATGGGTTTTAGGATCTGATGAGGGGGTATATGCCTGGGTTGTTGCTAATTATGCCCTTGGAACACTTGGTGGAAATCCTGAGCAAACAACAGGAATTCTTGAACTTGGAGGAGCATCAGCTCAGGTTTCAATGTCTATATTTAAGCTAAATTAATCCATTCAGATGTTAATATATGCTTCATATAATATGCAAACAGATGCACATTGTGCATCATCTAATGGGCTGGAACCTTGTACCACAAGTCACTATATACTCCTTGTCATTGACTAGTTTTTGTCATAGTCTCAAAGGGACATTTTATGATCAATTCTTCTAGTTACTCCCTTTGTCTGGAGTTAGTTGTCCACTTTTTTGTTTTCATTTGTCCAGAATTAATTGTCCACTTTCCATATTCAATAAAGAAAGTATGATAAATTGCCCTAAGTATCCTAAAGATAGGTTATGAGCATTTTTAACATAAATGAGATACAAGTTCATATGGACATATTTGTTTTTTTGAACTCATTCCTTAAAGTGAGATTTTTTAAAAAGTGTACAACTAAATTTGGATGGAGGAAGTAATTTTTGTTCTCTTGTATTTTCGATATCTTTATGCTCTCTTATTTCAAACTTATCAGAGTAAGTATTACATTCATTTGCCAAAGGCTAAACACATAGGAATATTTTACTTCCTTATATATTCTTACATTATTTTATCAATGAGAGTTTCTTCTATTATGACCATGAAATTACCATTGTAAATTTATGTGGAAAATGAACATAAGTTCTAGAACCATCTTGTATTCCTACTACTGGCTGCTTACGTTTTGGTATTTTGATTGTTTATTGCACCTTAGTTATAATCATGAATCACATAGGGGTGACGTAGTTACCGGTCAATAGAATCTTCTGGATGAATATGTTGCATCGTAACAGTGTTTGTTTGCGTGAGAATGGATATTATTACCTCTGATTTATATATTGGCATTGGATAATGTTGGGTTGTTAATTTATTATGGTGGATTGGTTTACCTATTTTCAGGTCACTTTTGTTTCTAATGAGCCTTTGCCCCAGGAATACTCAAGTAAAATTAAGTTTGGGAATCAAACCTACAACCTTTACAGTCACAGCCTACTTCATTTTGGCCAGGTATATAAACTTCTTTTGGGATAGACATAATAATCAATCATGAAAAGTTGTTAAGTTTGGTAAATTTATCATGAAGAAGTATGGATGGGGCTCTTCCAAAATGATTCCACGTTTTTTTTTCAGTTGTCAATAATTTTACTTCTGATAAATGCTAATGGTTTATATTCTCTGTTTTCAGTTATCTGTTTTTCATGTTTTGCAGATCTGTTTTGTGTGTGAGATTTGTCTTGTTTGTCATGAAAATATATGACTTTTATAAAAATCCTAAATCAGAAACATTCATTCGGTAACAATGAAACACAAGTTTCCTGCTTCCTACCATGTTCAGAATTCTATTTTTTTCCTAGAAAATTGAAAACAAAAACACTACTGTGAAAAACATTTTCTTGTTTCTGTTTTCTGTGAAAACAAAATTGTTACCACTTACCAAGTGACTTCTTAATGAATGAATCTGCAGAACCTTGTAAACACTTTGCATGAAACATATTTAATGAATGGCTTGGGAATTTTTGCAGAATGTGGCATTTGACTTATTGCGGGAATCCCTTGTTGCAAGAGGGGACGATCTTGGTATTTGCCACTTATTCTTATTTGTGTATACTTATGAATATCATTTCTTGTGTGGAACTAAGAAACAATTCACTTACTTTCATGCACCTCCACACTTCTTCATTTGAATCTTACTTTGTTCATGTCTTCATCTCAGGTATTGGCTCCCTTCAAAGTGTGAAACCAATGGATCCTTGCACTCCTAGAGGGTATACCCATGAGACAGAACAATGGAAATTTTCACCTAGTCAATCTGCAGAAAAGTCTAGATATCTCTCAGCATTGAATCCCAATGGTAACTTTTCGGAGTGTAGATCTGCTGCACGGCTGTTATTGCAGAAAGGCAAAGGTATGCCTATGCATTTTTCTTCATTGGAAGAGCTTTCATCTTCAATCTTTCTTTCCTCTCAAAATGGGCCATCTTGTTAATTTACACAACTATATTAATGTACGCTTAAATCTCAGAAAATGCCAATGAAAAGTATTTTCATATGTTTGGCTTTGCCAAAAAGTCTTTATATACGGAGTACTAAACTAGAGATGAATCATAATTAAGAAAACAAATTCAAACGAATATCCAAAGCAAATTTATTGAGTTTGAGCCTATCATGTATCAGTTATTCCCCCCCTCACACACAGATGTTTCCTCCATTTATCCTCTTTATTTGCCTCTCTATTTCCCTCTTTCCGTAGTATTTTCTTTGTTCCAACTTTCAAATGAATCCTAACATTATGTTTGGTTTGGGGAATACATAAAGGAATAAGAAGTCAAAGAAAGCAAAAAAACCTAATTGCCCTTCTTTAAACCAAATATTGTATGAATGTGTTGTTATTTTCACATGCAGAGAAGTGCGCTTATGAAAGCTGTGACATTGGACCGGCATTTATACCTAAGCTACAGGGGAAGTTCTTGGCTACAGAAAATTTCTTCCATACTTCTAAGGTTGCAATCCCTCCTGTGTTATTTCCCTACTGCACATTGATGTTCGGAAGTGTTTCATTGTGTGTGCTTTTGTGCCCTATACATTTTAATCGCAATAATGAATTTAGCTTTATTTACATAAAAAACAGTTCTTTGGATTGGCCCCAAAGGCATCTCTCTCTGATCTGATGAATGCTGGGAAAAGATTCTGTGAGGAAGATTGGTCAAAGTTGAGGAGCAAGTACCACTCACTAGCAGAAGAGGATTTGCTCCGTTATTGTTTCTCTTCAGCATATATTGTGGCCTTGCTTCATGATAGTCTTGGAATTTCGTTGGAAGATGAAAGGTAGCTGTTTTTTTCCTCCTTTTTTTAATCTCAAAAACATAATCAGTGGGATACACATGAATAATTGTACTATGAATTTTGGGGCACAATGCTCAAATGGCACCACAACTGTTTGATTTGTATTGCATTTATGCGTCTACACATAGGGATCCGTTTGGATGGGTGGTTTTGAAGAGAAAGGCTTCGGAGGCATTAGTATATATCTTGATAAATAAAAATTTTCTTCAAAAGAATAAAGGCGATTGAAATGTTATAAAATAACATATCATGTTAATCTTCCACTCGTTACATAAAATCTCCAAAGCATTCCCTCCCAACCCTTCCAAAACCCTCCATTCAAACACAGCTTCAGTAGTCGAGGTATCATTCGAAGTGATACAGATCAAATAGTTATAAAATATCATTTGGGTATTTCGCATACCATATACAGAATAGTATTAAGTCATAACTTTATTCATTTGTGTGATCATGCAGGATTGGTTATGCGAATCAAGTGGACAATATCCCACTCGACTGGGCATTAGGGGCATTCATCATGCAGAGCAGTACTGACTTGGACGAAGGCTCTTCTTCTAACGGGTTTGCATCCATGTTTGGGGGTGACTTTTCTACAAGTTTGATTGCGGTCTTTGGCATATTCGTTCTATTGATATTTGTGGCCTTCTATACGAGAGACTGGAGAAATCACCCTCAGTTGAAGACTGTGTACGATCTAGAGAAAGGGAAGTATATAGTTAAATGCGTCAGTAGGTACTCATAGCTTTCTGTCATTTTATTAGATGGAAAAAAACCAAACGAGATTCTTTGCTCACACGGTGGAGTTGGAAGATCCAATTGGCCTTTTTTTCACTTGCGAGAGTGTCATTTGAAGCCACTAAATCGCGCGCGCACACACACACGCATGCACACACACAAATTATTTGGAAGTTACGTTGCGGTTGAAACTGTAGACAAGGTAAGTAGGGAAACAACAGAATGTAGTGTGGATCTTCCCATACTTCTCACTTGCTTGGGGTTCCCATATTGGTGTATAGTTTTTGTACCATAATGTTATATATGATGTTTTGATCATTTAAATTGCCTATTTTCAAGATTGCTTTTCTTTTTTTTCTTTTTTTTTTTGGTTTTGGATGTAGTCATGATGATGATGGTCAACGGGCACTAAAATCGGGATGCGATCCTTTTATTTAGGAATTCCAACCGTTGTATTATTGGCACACGACTAATGTGACAATAACTTAGCGGTTGGAATGTAATTTTAATATAGGCTATAGTTTGGAATTTCATATTAAGATTTCCTCATTTGTTTATCTCAATCTCTTAATGGGGACAAACCGGACAATGCTTTATTCCCCCACTAGTTTTTTACACAACATTTTTATCCTTTTATAAATATTTATATATCTCCGAAATAGATTAGGGCTAATTAAATCTTATAGGGTCCATTTGTGCATTAAAGAAAAATTAAAGGAAAAAAGAGAGAAAAGATGAGACAAAAAGAAGATTCTTGGCTTAGCTTCTCAATGATGTTAGTTCTCATTGGTAATTTGAAGATGTGCAAAAAAGAAGGGATAATGTCCTAATCACACTCGAACTAACGACGATGAAAGAGTTTTTGCACGTATCAGAAATATAATTTAATTTTTTCCGCAAGAATAACAGTTTAGTTTACGATCGGTACTTGGAAGACTCTAGGGATGTGCGTCTTTTTTTTATAAAATTCCTCCGTCCCTAAAAAAATCATGCTTTTCATTTTTTTAATGTCTTCTAAAAGAAATTCTTATTCCATTTAGGGAAAGAAATGAATGGTTCACATTATTTCTTTCTCCTCTGCATGAATTTCTATTTTCTATCACAAAATATCACTTTTTTTCTTAAATTCTATGAAAAAAGCAAATGAAATCTTCTTTTGAGGACAAGAGTGAGTATATTTCCCCTTCATTCACCTTAATATAATAGGATTCTTCCCACAGCAGCTTTAATTTAGTTTGCACCAAATCAAATGTCAGATTTATTATGCTTCTCATGATTCTATAACCCTTCCAAACATTCTCTGCAATATATATATATATATATATATATATATATATATATATATATATATATATATATATATATATATATATATATATATATATATATATATATATATCTACAGGAATATAATGTAGTGTGTCACTTTGTCATTAGAAACAAAACAAATGGGTGTTACTAAAAAAGACAAGAATGCAGTTCTTGGTCTCATATGCATAGGATTATTGTTTGCAGTTTTTGTTCTTGCTGAGAAAGCTTCTGCAGCCTGCAGAGGTATGAGCCTTGATCATGGCTGCATTTCAAAATCTGGGAGGGGAACGGAGAGTGATCGGCGTTTGCTGGTGGTGATGAACGAGAGCGGGCCTCAGAAGAAGAAGAAGAAGAAGAAGAAGGAGACGTTTGATCGAAACGGGACGAGCAAATGGAGAGTTCCAAGAAGATCAGATCCTATTCATAACAAGTCTTGATCTCATTTCAGCTGGTTTGTGGGTTTTTGTTTTGTTTTGTTTTGTTTTTGTGATCCCCAAGTGGTGTTGTTGTTTGTGTACATATTATATATATATATGGGTAAGTGTATTGTTTGTGTCACAGATCAAAGATCATCAGCTAGAGAATTAAAGAAAGAAAGCAATTTGCATTAGTTCATTTAGTAGTTTTTGGAATCAGTTTGTCACAAGTTTCTTGAAGATACGGTGAACTATTTCCTCCGTTCCAATTTGAGTTGCTTGTTGTTTACGAGGGTGATTTAGCTGTATTTTCAAATTTAATTTGTTTGAATATTGGTTTGAAATTTTAAAATAAAGGTAATATATTGAGAAATTATATCAAAAGTTCTACAAATAAGATGTGACAAGACTATATTATTTTCTCCAATGAGTAATGAAAATGGTTAAAAACATGGTTAAAGTTAAACCTCGTGAATAGTAAACAAACAACTTAAATTGAGACAAAGGGAGTAGTAGTTATTAAGGGAAAAAAATTTATAATTTGTGTGTTTTCAAATGTATGGACTTTTTTTTTAGGAAAAAACAAACTTCATTAATTAAATCGTCACGGATGATACAAACTTAGAAGAATAGAAATTCCAACAAACTGTTGGGTTCCCGCCGCCTAGCAAGAGTATGAGCCACTACATTAGCCTCCATGTGAACAAACGAAATAGAATTTGAAGAAAAATTAGCCAGAAAGGTTTTACGATCTGTATCCAATGTACCAAATTAAGATGAAAGACTTAGCCTACTTATCTGAAATCGCCTTAGCCAAACACTTACAAAGAACAAAAAGCCCCACACTCTAAGACCAAAAACAAATAAAATGTAATTTTATTGAGACAAAAATAAAATAATATAATTCAGTCATCTTTTGTTTTATGGAATAATCTTTTTAGTTTGATTAAGCATTTCGATAACCTCTAATGCTTAATAAAATAGAGTAAGATTTTAAAGTGTAACACATCTTTTAAGAAAGTCGTATGAAAATGATATAAATGATGTTTGCTTGTGTTCTATTTTCTTGAAACTGATTATTTTGACAATAAAATCTAAAAATATTTCAGAGATGTTTCTCAACTTTTATTTTTCACGTCCCTGAAAAGACTAAAAATCACAAAACACTCCCAAATAATTTGAGATATAGTACAAAATTCTATACAAACTTATCATTTGAGATTTAAATTCTTTTAAAAAAATTTATTTTAGATTATTTTATTTCTTTATTAAATTTCACAAATAGTAAACTTGTGAAATCTGTAACCATTTTGTTGATGAACTTAACATTCTTCTTTTCAAAATCCTTTAAGACACAGTACAAAATTAATTGCGAGGTTTTCTGTACGGACAAAATGATAAGTTTGTAAGGAATTAATTTTTGAATTAACTAAGAAAATAATGTGCAGCCCATTAAATAACAATGGATGGGCCAAAAAATATCTTTAACCAAAGACAACATTATATTGTAATTGGGCCAGCCTTACATCAGCTTGAATACGAGCCCAAAATAATTCCGATTTATGGCCGTCCGATCTAGGGCTTCACCACTATATCTTCACTGTCCCCTCACCTGTTTTCCTTCTTCACTTCTACCGCCTCCAAACCAGAGCTCCCCACAGCGCAAAAATGGTTCAGCGGCTGGTCTATCGGACAAGGCACAGCTATGCCACTAAGTCCAACAAGCACAGGATCGTCAAAACCCCAGGTATTCCTTAACTATGCAAACGTTTTCTCGTTTTTTTCGTTTGTTTGCTTGTTTTTCTTAATTTTATCAGTAGAAATGTGTGGGATTCTGCGTGTTTTCGCGATTTAATCTTAATGGGTTTATATTTGTGCATTAAAGATTCAATCTTGATCTGTGGGTACTGCAAATATTGTGTGAATAGGTGGGAAGCTTGTGTATCAGAGACATAAGAAGAGGGCTAATGGCCCCAAGTGCCCTGTTACTGGAAAGAGAATCCAAGGGGTATGTGTTTTTCTGTTTTTTTTTTAGGTTAAGAAACGGTTGATCATTTTATTTACTATGAGTAATTGGATCTTGATTTCCTAAGATTGGGATTTGACTTGATGCTTATTTTTTGTGTGAATTTTACTGTGTTCATACTTAGAAATGATCTTAGTTTGCTTCAAATATTCTGTTCCTGTCATGTTGTCAATTCCTGAGATTATCTTGTTCGAGTTACTTGCTAACTTGACATTTCTTTGTTTACTTCTTAAGCTATAGGTGTACAGACTTTACTATTGTATTCATAATTTGTGTATGGTAGTCAGGGGTTGGTGATTTTCAGAAATGATGCGAACAATTTCTTTGAATAGCTAACACAACATAATTTGTTAAGATCTTTGCTAAGCAAAAATGACTGGACTAATTGATTACCAGTTTGCACTTTGTAGCAATCGAAATAGATTATTACTCCTTGGTTCATTTTGTAGTTCTTTATCACACTTGTTGAGCATTGCCAAGATTTACTTTTGCACCAAACGGTCATAATTCTTCAAAATTGTGCATGCTGCTTACCCTTGATCTGTTTTTTTTGAAAATTCTTTCTTATTCAGTATGATTTCTTAAGGGGAATTTACTTATATAGTATTAAAACATACTGAGTTTTTCCTATGTAGTACTATATATTTTAATTTGCCAATGTAGTACTACCGATCAATGTCCACTAGACATTGTTCAAGTAAATTCCCAATTGTTCCACAGCCACTGGACATTGTCCAAGTACTATTTTGGAAAAAAAAGTTGTAGGTACTATGCTGGGAAAAGACGTGTTTTAATATGGAGTAGTCCCTCCGTCCCAAAATATTTACAACATTTGCTTTTTCGGCAGTCGCGGGAATTTTTGTTTATTTCTACGTTTTCATTGGTTATTTGATAAAATAAAATATTTTTCACACCTCTTATTTTGAAGAACTTTTTGTGTAGTTTTTTTATATGTAATTTTTTATTTCTATACCAATATTTAAATAAAATGAATTGAAAGAACTTGATATTTTACCTCGGGAATACAAATGTGGCAAATATTTAGGGATGGAGGGAGTACTAATTAGTGCAAATTTTATGTTTTTAATGAATAATTGTAAATTTGAATGTGTTAACTTATGTTATTAATTACATATGCAGATTCCCCACTTGAGACCTGCTGAGTACAAGAGGTCCAGACTGCCTAGGTGCCGTAGGACTGTGAATCGTCCCTATGGTGGTGTGCTTTCAGGTTCTGCCGTCCGCGAAAGGTATTATTTTTTGCTCGTGAAATGACTCTGCATGTGCCTATCTAGGCCCTAGTTTAAACGGTTTGCTTTCTCTGTCTGTAGAAAAAGATAACCCTCCTCTCTAGGGTCCCTCGGACATCTTGGTAAATTGAGTAATAAAGTAGTATGACAAATGAGAACTATTATTCATTATCACTGTCAAATTCAAACATTACTCCCCTTTGCACCCCACATTTAACCTTTTTGAATGTTGAGTTTCTCCGAGCTTTCAAATTGTTGAGCTAAGCAAGTTTGATCAAGTGAATGAGCTTTTAATCGTTTCCAAACACATCTTTGTTGTGGTCATATGAAGTTCTGTGTTTTGTCTTTGTAGGATCATCAGAGCCTTTTTGGTTGAAGAGCAAAAAATTGTGAAGAAAGTTTTGAAGATCCAGAAGAGCAAGAAAAAGGCAAGCTGCTAAAGTATAAGTTGCAGGGAATGGGTTTGTGCAAGATATATGCTTCTAGATTAATTTTTGGGTTTATCATCATGTCTTAGCATTTCTTGACAAGGTTTCATTGAAATGTACTTTTCTCATGCCTTTTGTTATTCCGAGGTTTATCCAGATTTCTATTTTCTCTTTCGTTTGTCGAATGTTTGTCACACCTTTATGCCAAGTTTGTTTTGCTTTTATTATGTTCTACTGAGCGTTTTACTCTTTTCTTGTACTAATCTGCTATCGTTCTTGTTTGTTCCTTAATGTGATTGATGTCAACTATTCCTTTGGGCTTGCCTGGATCCCGGGCCAATGTCGGGATCCACTTGACCCGTGACGGGTGCCCCTTGGGACTGTTGGTTCTCCTTTTGGGCCGAGCCTTTTAAGTGCTGCAATCTTAATTGAACAAAGGCCAACCAAGATTGCACACTTCTATTGTCCACATTAACCAAATCTATATAGAATACTCGGATGAGATTGGGTCAGATATGAGTTTTACTATAGCTTGATATATTCCTCCTTATTTGTCAAGTAAATAAAGTGTTCTTTGTTTTGTTGTAAAAAAAATACCACCTCCATCACCATTAGTTTGTTGTAAATATTATTCAGGACCAAATTTTATTCCATTTTTTTCTTTATTTTCATTAGTCATTCGATAAAAAATATAATAATGTCATTATTAATTTTGTAGATCTTTTGATATAATTTTTTTAAATATGTAATTTTAAATTTTTAATTTTACATCATTTTCGAGTATAAAATGATTTAGAAATAATTTTATTCAAACATTCTAATTCAACATATGTAATTTAAATTGGGATGGAAGGGAGTAACAAATTATTCAATAATATATTATTAGTCAAACAAAATGGATGTTTTATTATCATAAATAATTTTTTCTTTATGATGATTTATACTTTATAGAAATGCTATTACTAATAATTAAAAATAACTACACTGAATTTAATCCGTTTTACATTTGTTTCGCCCATAGATTTCAAATGAATCCGAGGGATGGTATGTGGTGGGATAAAGGCCCACCCGATGTAGGACAAGGGACCATGGCGAAGAAGTCCAGGCGGCCCATGAAGCCCTCACCAGGCGCGCCTCTCTCAAGCTCTGACCCGACCAATCTTCGGGACCGAGCGCGCCTAGACTCGACGGACCCTCGAGGTCGGGCAAGGCTTGGGAAGATCATCACTATGCATTCACTCAACTACTACCGAACAAGACCCGCTCGAGGTTGGGTCATCAACTCGGTGACCAACTGCAAATTATGACGGTTGTACGATCATTTAATGCGGAGGCAACATCTGACGCATGCGCCATGCGGACAAACCCATGCGGGGTTTCTTGCCAGATCCTGCTATACATACAGGAGGGGAAAGAAAAAGGGAAGGAGGCAAGAGAACAGAATAACGGTAGAGAAGAGAGAGATACTCCCTCCGTCCATACATAAAGTTTCCGTTGCGCGTTACAATGTTTGACTGAAGTTATTTAGAAATCATTTTTCATAAAAATGATAAAATGATAAGGAATTAAAAAATAAAAATTACATACTTAAAAACCACAAACATGAAAAGATCTACAAAACTAGAGAGGTGACATGACTATATTATTTTATCAAATAGGACACGAAGATATAGGCCAACAAAGCAAATAAAGTTTAACCTTGTGAATGATGAGTGAAAACTTATGGTTGGACATAGGGTATATAAAATATGGTCTTCTTCTATTACCTAAAAAATGTTCCGACATTTTCTCAAGACACACTACAAGAATATTACTTGTAATTAGATATTTGTTTTACATACTCATTTCGAAACTAAAGTAGCAATTTCTCAAAAAATAAAAGTACAAATTACACAAGCCCTATTTTATAGTATAAATATTCCCTCGGTTTCGAAAAAACGTTTTGCAATTCTTTTATTAAGAATAATACTCGGCAGTATGTATTTGATCAAAAATATCAAAAACTTTTTTTCGGGACAGAGGAAATATGACACAGAGTGATTCATAACAAGAGATCAAAAGTGGAACTTGTGTTGGTGGAATAACTACCGGATGAGATTTCACTTGGACATGGGGAAGGGTAGTCCCAAGCCAAACTTGATGACTTCCACACATTATTATTATTATTATTGTTGTTCTCATTCAAAGGGAACCCATTGAATGAAAACCTGATGGACTCATCAATTATATTTGGTGATGAGGATTCCTTCCCCCCCGCCACCGGCATTTTCCCCTCCGCCACGTCATTCTCAGGCGGCACCGCCACCGGGAGCTGGTTGCCGATCATCCCGCCGCCGCAGGCATGACTCGTCAACTCTAGGAACAAGGAGGAGGGGTCATTAGTAGTTGTGTTGGTGTGGGTGATGATGGGGTAAGAAGGGAGTGTTTGGTTGTTGAAGTAATGTGTGAATGGGGATGAATGGAATAGTGCACTGTAGCTGGCGGCGGAGGAGGGGCCCTCGTGGGGGAGGGGGTGAGCGGCGGAGGGGATCTCCGGCGAGCATTTGACGCCGGTGTTGGTGGTGGCGCAATGGAACAAGAGGGTGGGAGGGGGATCATCATCATGGTTAATGTTGTTGTTGTGGTCCTCTAGGGTTTGCAATTCATGGAGGGTATTTTGGGGAGTTGCAGGTGAAAATGCAGCCCATTGTTGAGATAGTGCCCTTGTTACATTGGGGTTTACTTTCTTGAATATCCTACATATTGCCCATGCTTCCTGCAAAAAAAACCAAAAACACTACATTAATGTCATGGGTAGTTGGATGTCTTGAAGTAGAAGTGTTAAGTCCGAGGTCTCAGGATTGATTCCGGCCAGCAACGGTGTGTGAAGTGTTATACAATGTGTTAATTTTTTGCGTGCATCAGACACCGAATGACCACTCGAGACACTAGAGTGACTAGACCAAATGACACCCGCTTTCTTCTTTATTGCGGGTTAAAGTTATTCTGAAAATATTTTAGACATTTAGGTGGGATAGAAGTGTTTTGTGTGATGCACAAAAAAATGAATAAGAAATTGTTTTAATAAACGGGAGTATATACTACTACCTCTGTCCCAGAAATCTTTCCTATTTTTATTTTTTGGGTCAAATTAAACAATGACATTCTTTGATCAGAATTTGTGAAAAAAGTATATTTAATTTTAATATAAATTTAATATAATTGGGTTCATGTTAGGATATAATTTTTATATATCAAATTTTTATAACATTTATTTATTCAAATTAGGATTTAGTTTATGATCATCACTATATATTTCATCTTAAAAAGTCAAAATAATAAAACTTTTTCAAGTGGAGATAGTATATGTTACTCACATTGGGAGGGATGTTTTTTTCCAACAATACCCTCTTGTGGGAGGGAAGGTCGCCGGAGAGCGGCGGCAGCCGGAACTCGTGCATCATCCAATCAGTTTTACTCCCTTTGGCGGCGCGCCCTCGGTAGAAAACCAGCGATTTCTTCAGCCCGATGCATTTCGAGTCGTCGCTCGAAGAGTAGATCGGCCGGTCGGTTCCGGTCGCCTTCCAAAACCCGTCCTTGGTCACCCGGTTCGGCCTCACGCTGTTCCTGTACTTCCTGTCCCTCGGGCAGTAAAAGTACCATTCTTTCTCTCCTGTTCCCGCCAATTCTGCCCATTATTTAAAATTAATAATTTCAACAGTGTTAGGTTACGTTGATGCATGGCTTAAATATTGAGAGATTACAAATTTCTTATTACAAAATAAAATCCCATGTTTTTTAAAATAAGTTTATTCAAAAATTTGTATAAAGAAAAAAATATAACTTACATACTCCCCCGTTCCACAAAACCCTTCCGGTTTTGACTTTGGGGAAAAATAAGGAAAGTGAAATTTTGGTTGACTTTCCAATTTTGCCCTTGATGTGATGGGAAAAAGTAAGATGTGATAGTTTGGTTATTAGTGAAAAAATATGATGTGATAGGTAGAGTATGAAAAAGTAGGGGTAAAAGTGGTTTTTTAATAGAAAGTGGAAGTATTTTGTGAAAGCAAAAAAAACAAAAAATGAAGGGTTTTGTGGAACGGAGGGAATATATATTAAAAAAACTGCGTTAAAATTCTACAAAACAAGAATTGATACGAATATTTTATTTTATCAAAGTTCAAGACGCAAAGACTAGATATAAAACCCTAGCCTTTGTGATGTACTCAGACGAGTTCAGAGTTCAATCTTTCGTTTCTACTTTCAATCCCTTTTTTCTAAGCATGGATGGATCCTGGCACTTTCAATCCATCATTCTACTAATTCTCACATATAATCATATGGGTTCCCATTTATTATTAATTGATGATGGGTTATTAAAGCTTACATCTCATCAAAAGTCAATGGATGTAGGGTTTTGGTGATCTATAGAAAAAGTTGCATAATTTTAAAGGATCATTGATGAAAAAAATCCGAAAATAATCAAAATATTACACAGGAGTAACATAATTACGCGTGCGTAAAATTTAAAATCTGATTAATTACTACTATGATATACTCTCTCCGTCCCAAAAAATTCGACACGTTTCGAAAAAACTGTGTCCCATAAAGTCCGTAACATTTCTATTAAAAAACCACTTTTATCCCTTACTTTTCCATATCCTACCTATCACATCATACCTTTTTTCTAATAATCTACCCATCACATCCTACTTTTACCCATCACATCAAGGGTATTTTTGAAAAATCAACACCAAAATATCTCTCTCTTAATTTCCAAAAAAGTCAATATGTATCAATCTTGTTGGGACGGATGGAGTATAAGATAAAAGTCACTTATGAGAAGATAGATATATGTAGACACTTAAAAAAAACTTAAGGTATACATCATCATCATCATCAAAAGATGATCCCAATGATCATATGTGTACTATACTTACTAGGAAGATCCCAAGGATCATATTTGTAGATGTCAAGCTGCTTGATGAGCTCAATGGAGAGAGGTTTGTCTAGAACCTTCTTCTTCAAGTAAAACCCGACCAGCTCTTCGTCTGTCGGATGAAACCTGAAACCCGGCAAAACCGCCCCCCCGCTTTCCTCTCCTTCCTTCCTTCTTTGATCATCTTCCATCCTCCTAGCTAGCTAGCTAGCTCCGATCCTCCTACTTACTCACTCACCTCGAGATCGATCATCAATCAATTCTCTCTCTCTCTCTGATCTTCTTATAAGTAAACCACAAGTAAAAGACACAAGAAAATGAGTTTAGTTTATTATTATACCTCTAGATAGCTTCCACTCCTCAAAACCAACAAGCTAAGAGAAAGAGAAAGAGAGGGAGAGAGAGAAAACCCTAATCATTAAATATGTTGAGAAAATTAATGAATGGGTTAAATAATTAAAAAACACTGGCTTAATTAATGGCATTGATATATGGTATAATAATGTATATGCTTCATTCAAAGGGGTGTATGTACGTCGGAAGGTTCGGCCTAGCTCCTTTCCTTTTGTGGTGACTTTTGTTACCCCATATTGGAAACTTATTTAACTTTTACCGGATTAATTAATAAGTATTACTCACATACATTCTATATACTTTTTCAATAATACGGAGTTTGTATGCAAACTTTACCGTTATATACTCCCTCGGTCCCATAAAAATTGAGACATTTTGACTAAAGTGGTAAGATAAGGAGTGATAATTTTGTATTGACTTTCCAAAAATACCCTTGATATGATGGGTAAAAGTAGGATGTGATGCTTAGATTATTAGAAAAAATGTATGATGTTATAGGTAGAGTATGAAAAACTAAGGGGTAAAAGTGGTTTTTTTATAGAAATGGGACGGACTTTAAGGGACGCAAATTTTTCGAAACGGGACTGACTTTACGGGATGGAGGGAGTATTTTATATTTTTTCAAAATACTACTCCCTCCGTCCCATAAAGTGTTACCCATTTTGACTAAAGTTGAAATTAAGGGAGGGATAATTTTGTGTTGACTTTCCAAAAATACCCTTGATGTGATGGGTAAAAGTAGGATGTGATGTGTAGATTATTAGAAAAAAGGTATGATGTGATAGGTAGGGTTTGAAAAAGTAAGGGGTAAAAGTGGGTTTTTAATAGAAATGGGTAAGGGTTTGGGGGACACAATTTTTTTGAAACGTGTAAATCTTTTTGGAACGGAGGGAGTAAGTACATAGGGCATTTACAATCAAGTACGAGATCAGACTTAATCTTTGCCACCAATATATGATTAAAACTCATTTTACACTATCTCAACTCATCGTCCGACCTGTTCTGAGGGGCTCTCGGGATTGGATTCATCATTTTAAAAGGAAATGCAAATGAAATAATACAACTAGGTATACTAGGAGTTCACCATCAAAAACCCTAGACAATAAAGTGTTACAATTCTCATACGGATTACAATGGACGGGGAAGATGAACGGCCCCGGAAATAAAAATACATAAAATTCTGAATTTATAATTTATTCAGAATATTACTGTTGGAAATTTTAAGTAAATTGGACTTTTTTCGGACATAAATTCGATATGGTCCACAAAATTATTTTTCGAAATAATTATGGACGTTCAATCTCGTGAGTAAGACGAACGTCTTGACATATTACACGCCATAAACGGTGCTCGGGTGAATGAGAAATTAATTCTCAAAGTTGAATAAGAGGGAAGAGTAAAAGCCCTTGTCCCACGCCGGTTCTTGAACCTTTCGTATTCTCATATTTAAGCTTAGGCTTTGAATTGAGCTTATGAAAGAAACAAGAAGAGAACTCCTCGCGCGCCGCCGCCGATGCCGTCCGTCTGGCTCGGCACGCGCGTCGGGGCGGGGCTAAATTTTTACGAGATCGAATTGAACACGCGTGGACACTTCGTGATTAACGAAGTGTCGTCCAAGAGAAATGCATGCATGGCCGACCGAAGCGTCACCTGAGACTCCTCGGTATTTCCGTCTGGCTTTCCAGTTAGCCAAGCCTCCTCCTATTTAAGGAGAGGTTGGTCGAGAGATGAAGCATACACTCAAAAACTCTCTCTCTGCAGTAACGTAAACTCTTCTGACGAATCCCCGTTTCCGGTCATCTTCTCCGGCGATAACTTCCCGTCGTTCTCGTTCGGCGGTGCTCTAATCTACCGCTCTAGACTTAGCACGTTGCGGTTTTATCTTGGGAGGAGATTGCCCACGTTTTCCAGTGCGGGAGGCGGGCAATACTACCTTAAGGAAAGATCCGGAGACTCCGCTTTCCTTACCCTTGGTTTTAGAAACTGCTCCGGCGACCCGTTGCTTCCCGTCGGACGCTCCCAGCGGTGTACCCGTTCGTATTCCAGTTCTGTCTGTTCGTACTCTTCCCGCTGTCTGTTCCAGTTCGATATTCCGAAGACTCCATTTTTCTTTTTCTCTTATTTTTCGTTGTAAAATCCGAACATTTTATAAGTTCGGATTAGTATTATTATTTTTATTATTCCCGCTGTAATATTCAACAATTACAAAATAAATAAAGTTGAAAAATAAATTTCTATATCTTCAAACAGCCTTGTTGTATGAGAACATTAAGCACTTAACAGCGAGGACATTAAACACTGGATAGAATGCAGCGAGGTCTTTATGAACTAACTGGACAGCGAGGACATTAAGCACTGGACAGAATGCAGTGAGGTCTTTATGAACGAAACCTGCAAACAAAACACCACGGAAGGGCAGCGGAGTCGTCGGAGCTGTCCTTAAGGTAGTAGTGCCCGCCTACCGTACTGGAAAAACCGTGGGCACTCTCCTCCCAGGATAAAACCGCTATCATGTGTGGAGATTGTACGGACCAACCACACACCAACGAACAAGAACAACATAGGAACGTTGACGACCAAAAACTTTGAATGGGATTGCCGGAAAGTTGGCCGGAAAAAACAAGAGCTCTCTCTCAATATTATAACAAGAATGTTATCCCTTTCTTTTCCTTTCTTTCTCACGTGAGGCACCCAAAAAATGGAGAGAGACCCTTTGATTTTATAACTAAGGAGTTTAAAAATATGTAACTCCTACACCATTAACCCTTAGTATTAATCATGGCATTTGTGGCACACTAATGGTGTGTTAATGGTGATTAATTAGCCATTAACACGTCCGTTACGCTACGCTCCGTTTAAAATTTGTCCCGAATAATTGGAGATTAATGGTCAGTTAACTCCGTAAAAATGGACTAATTTTAAACAATACGTAAAATTAATAAAAGAAGATTGGTTCAGTAAAATTGCAAAAATTGCCATATTCTTTTATTAACGGGTTAACTCTGAGAATCAATTTCTCATTCACCCTCTACTATTTTTGGCGTATAAATTATCAAAACATTTATCTCATTTAAGAGAACACACGTCCATTAATTAATGGTTAAAACCGTTAGTGGACCTATTGACAAATATACCCAAGTTGGTCCACTTAATGCCTATTAAAATGCCAAAAATTCAAACATAAAGTCAATTGAATCACAAGTTGGTAATTAAATTGTCATAGGTTGCATATTATTTGATTTAATTTATCACTTTTAATGCCTTTCAAAGATCACCAACTCTGCAAGTGTGGGAATGGTGTTTATGCTTTTCAAACTCTTTTAATAAATGTTGTGAAACTTGGAAACATTGTCCGTCCAAGAAAACAAGTCCCAAAGCTTGCAAAAAAGTTTGTGACACAAATAGATTTTTATGTTCATAATTGTCATTGCAAATTACTTTCTCTGTTTTGTTTTAATTAGTCGTCGTGACTTTTTTGATAAATTAAAAATGCACAATTGCTATTAAACAAATGAGGCATTCGTTCACACTATAACTAATTTTAATAGTATTGGAGTCAAGTTCCATGTTTGGAAAACTTAAAAAACAATTGAATTTGGATTTCAGTCAAATTTTTCTAATTCATTACAAAGTTTAAATTGAAATCTATACATCTCCTCTTTTCAATTGAAATTCAAGATTTAAAATTTTGAATTTGAAATGAATGATTGAAATTAAATGCAAATTTCCAAACACTGCCTTGTTAAAGTTGGGATCAAGTACATTTTGGGTTTGTTTGGGAATAACGTTAGCGTTTTGGATAAAATTGTAACGATGTAGATTACTTTGCAAAACGCAAACACTAAACATTGTCTGTAGATAACCTTTTGAGAACGCTAACGTTATTCTCAAATAGACTGTTTATTTTGATTCGTTTAGAAATTGATCAGGTATGATGTGTGTAGAAGCTAAGGGCCCATTGGGATTCCATGTGGCCCAATAAGGGGAAATATTTTCATTTGGCATAAGTCTCCTGAAAAACCGGCCTTTGATTTGGTCCGAGACCAGAAATTTGCCAGGGAAAAAATAAAAAAGAGAGCGGCTTTTGGCCAGGTCAAAAAGTCAAGCTCGCGGCCTTATTGGTGGAACCGTGGAATATATTTTTCACTGGGTTCTCATTAATTTACTGGGATTTTTCACCGTCTTAAATGCCATGGTGTGGGCCCCATAATCAGATACTCCCTCCAAGTTAAAATTTAAATTTTACACTCTTTTTTTTTAATATTTCGAAATTAAATTCTCACTTCTTTATTTTCTTTTTTGTGCAATATATAATTTTTTTATCTAAATATTTTCTAATAACATACCTACTATGCGTTTTAGTTTTCGCTAAGTATTGATCATTTTTAACACTTTCTAAACTTTGTTAAACAAATTAAAGTATAAACTTCATTCTGAAGCGGGGAGTGATCGATCCTCATTCACGCAAAAAAAAAGGTCCAATTTTTCATGTTTCCTTTTTAAAAAATGAATATGCGGTTCATAATATTTCTCTCTTTTGAACGAATTTCAACTATGTATTTTTCGCCTATTAATGTTTTTATTTTTTTTGGAAATCAAACAAAAAAGTTTTTATGTGTGGGGTGGAGTATTCAACACATAAATATCAGAAATTTACTCGCGGGTGACGCTAGTTTTGTCGAAATAACTTTCAGGTCCCTCTATTTTCAAAAAGACAACTGAGGTCCTTATATTTTGTTGTAATGACTGTGAGGGGACATTTCATCTAATACATCATCCGTAAGTGTTAATAAATGTATTTTTTCCTATTTTTCCAATACCATTTTTTTCTATTTTGCCATTAACTTGTTTTTTCTTTTTTTTAAAAAAAAAATTTCATTTCATTTGGTGTAATATAATACAAACGATTTTGAATTTTTATACGATTTTATAGAAGAAATTCTAAAATAACACTTTAAAAATAGTAACAAAATGAAAGAAAAACAATGAAATAAAAAAAGGATCGACCTAAGATTTATTACCCTAAAACATTTAGAAAAGAATAGGAAAAAAATGCATTTATTAACGTTTATAGATGAAATATTGGATGAAATGTCTCCTTCCAGTTATTACAACAAAATGTAAGAACCTCTGTTGTCTTCTTGAAAATAGAGGGACCTGAGAGTTATTTCAACAAAACTCGCGTCACCCGTGAGTAATTTTCTACATAAATATTGACAGATATCTTTTAAACACAATAGTCACAAATTTATATAAACTTACTATTTGTTTATTTAAATTTCCACTTTTTAAAATATTTGGAATCATTAAGAGAAGCTAAAGTCAAATTCTAATTAGTAGTCACAAAATTTAAATATTTGCTATTTTATTGACCTCATTAAGAGCACAAAATAATTAAATAATTTAAAAGTAAAAATTTTTATTTACAAACAATTATTATTATGTGAGATTTGTGACTAGCACTTCTTGAGATCATTTTGGTCTTTTGGTGAGGTTCACAAATACAGAGTTGTAATTTGTTAATTTTGTGATTGTTTTATTTATGATTCAAGCATTTCTCAACTTCTTTAAGGAAAAAAACATACAAATATCGCATAACAACAATAACCCAGTTAAATCCCACAAGAGTAGGGTCTGGGAGGGTGTGTGTACGCAGACCTTACCCCTACTTGAAAATATAGAGGCTGTTTCCAAAGAGACCCCCAGCTCAACGTCGAAAGTTGCATTACTTGACTAACTGCTACTTCATTAATTAAAGAAACGCAGACAGTTTAGAGATCCATTTTGATTTATTCCATCACACCCAAAGCCAAAAAATGGTGAAATTTTGGCTCCATCGGAGATGATGGAAAACATACAAATATCACATTAAAACGAAAAATTCCTTAGAATAAATGATTTGAATAAAAGAAGAAACAAATTACCAATTGTAAAAACAATAGTACTATAAAAAAATATTACTGAATGTTCGAGTAATATGACATAATTTAAATGTACTTTGGTCTTGGTATACGTCACTAGCTAATTTGTTTTGGTGACCTTACACTTTATTGGTCATGCTAATGGTTCCTAACTTCTCACGTTAAATTCCTTAAGCATGATTAAGTATTGTACTTTTTTTTTATTTTGTTTTTACTTTCTAAGTGGATCTCACTTTATAGACGTTTGAAATGGTCAATTAGAGAATATTATAATTTTAAAAAAAACACCTAAAGGTAAAATACGGAGGTGAAAGTAGAGTTGGGTGCCGGTAATTAAGTGATCACTTTTTAATTTCTACGTGGTAATTATCGAAATCCTTCCATTGCTGCAACTAGACTCGAACCCGTGCCTTGCACGGTCTAATATTAATTATATAATTAGGAGAAACATTGATATAATTAAGAAAAACATTTTGGTTTTAGCAAAGATACGTAGTATACATATAAGAGGATGCATTTACAATTAATGCAGTAAATGGAAGAATACAACTATAAGTTTTGGAAAACTTCCTTATAAACTACATTTGCTGTTTTATTTGATGTCACAGGATCTTCATTATCAATCAAAATCTTTAATCCACTACGATTCGTGACTCGTGATAATGCCATGTAAAGTTGTCAATGACTGAACACACGTTTCTTTAGTAATAGCCCAACATGCGTCAATGATTGTCCCTGACTTTTATTAATTGTCATAGCGTAAGATATCATAATCGGAAATTGTTTCCTTTGAAATTTAAAAGGAATTCTGGTATCCGATGGTGTAAGCAACAATCGCGGGATAACCACTTCTTGACCAATATTCTTCCTTGTCAAGACCTTACCTTGAATTAGATGATTGCCAAGTCGTGTAACAATCAGCCTTGTTCCATTGCACAAACCTGACGACTGGTCTATATTCCTCAACAACATCACCGGTGTCCCAATCTTTAACTTCAATTCATGGTTTGGAACCCCAGACGCTCGGATGTTATTTAAGAATTCAGGAGAATGCATGTCACTTAAGAAGTCCAAATTTGAATCGGATTTACACACGCCATCTGAACTCAAATAACTTTTAGCTTCTCCTGTTAGGTTCAATGAGGTCATGTATTCATTGATTTCATCCACAACTTCTAGAGTTGGTGCCAAGATTGCCATGCTTTGCAAATAAGTAGGATCAATCGCGATATTGTGAAAGTCTAGATAAGTTGAATTTACTATAGACACAATCGGGTATAATAACCTGACCAACCCCATCATTTTCCTCCCCAGCAAGTCCATACAGAGGTGAAAGTAGAGTTGGGTGCCAGTAATTAAGTGATCACTTTTTAATTTCTACATGGTAATTATCGAAATCCTTCAGTTGTTGCAATGTTAGAAACAAAACTAACACTCCATTTGTTCGAGTATTTTCTTTTTGAGTCATACAGGATAAATTTTAAACTTTAATTAAACAAAAACTATAATATATGTTAATAGAAAATTAATTTTATTAAAATCATCTTGTTAAGAACTTTCAGAATGTTATTTTATTATGCAATACAAATTAAGAGTAATTGAAACTCAAAATTCGTCTAACATAATTCAAAAAAATCAAACTAGATAAATACAACAACAACCCAGTTGAATCCCACAACAGTATGGTCTGGGGAGGGTGTGTGTACGCAGACTTTGCCCCTACTCGGAAGTAGGGAGGCTGTTTCCAAGAGACCCTCGGCTCCACCTGCACAAAAACATGGAAGAAAACACAGTATAGCACAGATAAGGCACCAAGTACAAGCAACAAGTACAAACAATAGCAAAAGATTCCCAACAAATACAACACACTACAAAACAACCTCTACAACACTGAGCTCCTATCCAGCTACTCTAATCCTAGTTCTCCAAAGGTTCCTATCTAGGGTCATATCCTCAGTCAGGTCGAGAAGTCCTAAATCCTGTCTTATCACCTCCTCCCAATTCTTCTTAGGTCTACCCCTTCCCTTACTTCCCCCGATAACTGTAATCCTCTCGCATCTCCGTACAGGGGCGTTAGCATTCCGCCGTCTCACATGGCCAAGCCACCTCAACCTCGCTTCCCGCAACTTGTCTTCCACCGGTGCCATACCTACTTGACGTCGGATAACCTCATTCGAAATTCTATCCAACCTTGTCTTCCCGCACATCCATCGTAACATCCGCATCTCCGCCGCATGCAGACGACGCACATGAGTCTTCTTAACCGCCCAACACTCTGCCCCATATAACATAGCAGGTCTGACTACGGATCGATAGAACTTACCTTTCATTCTAGGCGAAATCTTCGGATCACACAACATCCCTGAAGCTAACCGCCATTTGGCCCAAGCCACTCCAACCCGATGTCCAACATCCGCATCTAACTCCCCATCCGCCTGAATTACTGAGCCAAGATAACGAAACCTGTCTACCTTAGGTACTAGGTGAGAGTCAATCTTGACTTCCACCTCTGATTCTGTATCCCGGCCACTGAAACGACATTCCATGTATTCAGTCTTGTTCCTACTTATTCTGAATCCTTTAGTCTCAANGCCATTTGGCCCAAGCCACTCCAACCCGATGTCCAACATCCGCATCTAACTCCCCATCCGCCTGAATTACTGAGCCAAGATAACGAAACCTGTCTACCTTAGGTACTAGGTGAGAGTCAATCTTGACTTCCACCTCTGATTCTGTATCCCGGCCACTGAAACGACATTCCATGTATTCAGTCTTGTTCCTACTTATTCTGAATCCTTTAGTCTCAAGGGCAAGGCGCCATGATTCCAACTTATCGTTTAGTCCCTCACGCGTGTCGTCGATAAGCACAATATCATCCGCGAAAAGCATGCACCATGGGACCCCGTCTTGAACACCTTGAGTTAGGACGTCCATCACCAAGGCGAACAAAAAAAGGCTAAGAGCAGACCCTTGGTGCAACCCCATTCCTGCCGAGAAGGAATCTGAGACACCCCCGGAAGTCCTTACCTTGGTCATAGCCCCATCGTACATATCCTTGATCACGCGAGTGTACACGATAGGCACTCCTCTCGCCTCAAGGCACCTCCATAAGACCTCCCTTGGCACCCTATCATACGCCTTCTCAAGGTCAATAAACACCATATGAAGGTCCTTCTTCCTAACCCTATACTCTTCCATTAACCTCCTCACGAGATGAATGGCCTCTGTAGTCGATCTGCCAGGCATGAAACCAAACTGGTTCTCCGAGATGCAAACCTCTTTCCGCACCCTATACTCGATAAATACATTGGACGGAAGTAGTAATATACGAGTAGTAGTGTAATATATAACATTTTTTCAAAAGAATAAAAATAATATTGCATAATAATAATAATTAAAAAACCAATGTCTGAAATTGACACGGAAATTAAACCATTACTTGTCTATTAATATAGGTCATATTCTCTTTAACTTATTCTTATTACTTACGGGATATTACTTTTCTTATTGAAATCGAGATCAAACGAGATCAGATAAGAAATAGTTTTAAATATAACTATATTTGGGTCAGACCAGATCAAAACTTATGCATGAAGAATTGGATTTGAAGATTTTCTTTGAAAGATCTTGCATTGCTCATTATTTGATCATTCTCAAGACATGGTAGAAGAGCTTCCCACCTCATTCATCAATGAAGAACTAACAGATAAAATGGAAACTAAGCAACAAATGAAGGTCAACTTGTAGTCAACCCCTTTGGATCAAGATGCTTGTATTATTTCCTTGATATCATATCCTTGAAGCTACACATAAAACACATACCTAGCATGAGCCATCAAGACAGGTGTTTACATATAAAAAGTATTAAAAAACAATTATAAATAAGTAAATAAATAAAAGATCAATTTACCTGGAGGAAGATGAGAAGCAAAAGAACTCCAGAGTTCCAACAAGCATGAATGGTGATTGGTGTTAGAAGATTTCGCGTTTGAGCGTACGAAAATCCCAGTACCGTACCTAAATATTTTCGACATTCATGAGGCAAAAACAACCCCCCTTTTTTTAAAGATAAGATTTTTTAAAATGAAATGGGATTATTACGGGTGTTAAAAAACAATACCCAGTACGAAAAGCTGAGGAAATTCTGATGGAGTTAAATGTGCCGCAGAAAATGCAGCAGCACTTGGAACAACGGACACCGGTGTGGGTAGCCTGCAATAAAAAAATCACAATTCAAGAACATAAAAGAATGCCAAAGCTCGTAACCCGTCATCCTCAAAGGGAGTTAGTTCCAACTTTCAACAGGTAGCCGTGTGATTAGGGCTCTGTTCTTTCGAGTTGTAATTCTTAACTTCCAATCTTTTCTAGCTCTTTCCACTTTCTTCTTAACATCCAACTCTGTTTTTGCATCCCAAATGAACAGAGCCCGAGTTGGTCCTCATACTAATATGTTAGACTCAAACTCGAGTGTGAGAGGTGAACAAATGGGCTCAAACCCATTCTCAAACGGGTTCTCACAAGTCATCAAATGGACAAGTGCCCCATAAACCACCATACAATCAGGTTATACCCCGTATTGGGCCTCAGTCGCCCCTAGAAAGATTCTTAAGAGGTGAGATTTAGCTCAAACCCTTGGATAACCGTTTCTTGGATTTGGATATGCTCAGCAACAAAAAACACTATCTCTAAATTAGAGTTTAAAGACATGAAATGATACCACTTCGTGAGGGAGACCATAAGAAATCCTCTAAACAAAGTCTCCTCAAGAACTGGTGCAAGGACACCAGTGATGCCGAAAAGACTTGCCGTGCTGCATTTTTTTAAGGAAAAAGAAATGAAGTTGTCATGAATGTATTTAGGTGCAGAAAAATTGGCACAATCTCTGAGAGATACCTGATGTTTGAAGAGCCAATCAATGGAAGCAAACGAACTAGAGCATCGGTCTGAAACAATAGTTATATATAATGATATAAGTCATACACTCATATGTATGTCACAAAAGTAGGGTCTTGGAAGTAGAGAAGCTGTTAATCTAAATGTCAAATGTGCCATCTTTAGTGTATTTATCTTATTAAAATACTTCTTGAAACTAAAACAATAATAGAATTTCTCGGGAGCATCGAGAAATGGAATAAACTATAACAGAGGAAGTCGTAAGTGCCTAAGGGTAAAACTGGTAAAAAGTACATCCTCAGTTCTATAAAAATAATCAAATGAAAAACAGAAAGATTTTCAATAAACAACAATTACTCTGTACTACTTAGAAAATGGAGATTACGTAGTGGATTGACTTATAACCTGTCTCTGTGGCGGCTCACTATTGAAAAGAGACATTGCCACCCCTGTTAGTCCAATGCCAGCCAGTGCTCCAACAAAACCAATCGCTGCCCACAACAGCCATCCTCTTTGAAGATTGAAAGGCTCCCTCCAATCTGAAATACTGATAGATAGTACCCAGCCAGTGAAATTAAATTACCAAGACCGGTTAAAAAGTTCAAAAGATAAATTACCATATCGATATATTTCATCAGGTAGGGGCTTAGATGACTTGGTTAGAGTATAGAGAACCCCAAGCACGACAGCGGTTGTGATTCTGCACGGGTAAACAAGTAAAATACCATAAGACTCTTAACCGCGCCGACAAAAAAAGAATACTTTGAACAGGTTGCACATACGCTTGATCAAGAAACAAGATTTCTGACTTCTCGTCCAAGCTTAAATCTTGGATTTGAATTCCTGAATATGGTAAAGCAGCTGTCTCTATTAGCCCTGTCAGAACATAACTGGCTGAGAATCAATTAGCCTTTCCAACAAGTGAATGGCACAACTTAAAAAAAAAGTACCTTCCCACTATATTTTTTATGACAGATAATAACTTGATTAGCTTTTAAAAAGACAAGATTTCTGTCAAACAAGAATTGAATATCCACCTTAGTCCACAGGCAAATGAAGAGAGTGAAACAGTTTGCCAATTCCAGGGCACATCCCACCGTCTTAAGATTGGCCACTTTGGTCCACTCCCCTGCAACGAAACCGATCAAGTTCAGCTTCTTTTTTTTAAAACCTAATATACACCCACATTGTCTCTTGCTCTTCTTGTGCCCTATGATCGATGCTATGTCTGACCCTGAAGTGGTTCCTACCCCCTATAGCCCACTCACACCCCTAGCCTGCCCCCAGCCTCCCTGTTGGAGGTGGGGGGTAGGAATGACTTCAGGGTTGAATGGAGCACCGCAGGGCCATCAAATGGATATGTGTCCTATGATGACACCCAATTTGGGTGTCAAAAGATCAAAATAAGGTCAATGTGTCTTCCTCATTGAATTCTACATCTTCAGATTCGAGGAGCAATCTAAATGGAGATCAAGAAAGGGGGAAAAGAGTCTAAGAACCACAACAAGTGATATTATCTTGCAACACAGTATACTTGAAAGGACTGGGAGAAAGATTAAGCATTTCATATAGAGGGAAAATTCAGAAGGGAAAAAAAAAGAAATGGACTGAAGATCATTGTCATACCTTACTGTCGGGTTGGCTGCCGGAAGTGGAAAAGCAAAGGGTTCTGGTGAGGCGGCGATTCAGGGACTGTGTCGACCGGCGAAGAGAGAGCCATTGCGACTTGTGAGACAGGCGATTGAGAGGGAGAAGGTACGGTTGAGGTAGACATCCGCAGATCATCAGGGTTCCTGCCATTGTTGGATTCTTCTTCTTCTTTCTTCTTCTTTTGCTGGAGAAGTTTTGGGTTGAGGCCTCACGAAGAAGATAAGGTTAGCACACTAGCAACCAAAAGGTCAGCCAGTCAATGATACATTGAATTTAATTAAGGGGATTTCTTCGGTGCCCAAAGAAATAAGAGGGCATCCAATGTCCTTGTTGCCACGTGTATTAAATCTCACGAGAATTAATAAAGTGTTCTAACTCATTTTAACTCTAAGAAATTACAATTGACCTATCCACTTTGTTTGCCTTAAACTCACCCCAACCCTTCAGTTTTCTTCAATTTCCAAATTTCCATTTATCATTGACGTTACTTCAAATGATCTTTTTTTCCTCGACCGCCGGCCACAATCTTATACAAATCTGATCAATTCCTCTTACCCAATCTAATCAATTTCCTCTTAGCATCAAAACGAAGTTATCAAACCTATCAAATCCTTTGTAGGAATTTCTGTTCTATGAGCCGGCTATCCACTTTAATTCTCACTGTGGAGAGACATGTAACAATTGGGAGTGGACTGCTAGGTTTATAATTCATAATAGTGAAAAGAAAAAAAAAACTTGACAGAGAGTGATTATGGCCAAATCCATTGTTACAATTCACAATAGTGAAAAGAAAAATTGTTATGTCTTAAAATTACTCGCACCATTTTTTTGGTAAACATGGTTATGTCAAATGATATAATTGCCAAATCCAAAAATGCCCAAATCTCAAAGGGAAGAATGACTTCTTTTTAGAAGCTCAAGATTAGATTTTCACAGGAAAAAAAAGAACAAAAATATTGCCAAACCTCAAAGAAGTAAAAAATAGCTACTTCTTAGAAGCTCAAAGAGTCAAACCTTTGTCATTGGATAAAGAGGAAATTGATTAGATTTGTATACGATTGAGGCCGGCGGTCAAGGCGGCAGCTTCTTCTCTAATGTGAGATGCACAGTGACGGAAGGCCAGGGGTGCAGGCGTGCAGTGCCGCGGATATGTGTGGTTACGGTTTGGGAAGAAGACATCGGAAAAAATACGGACTAATTAAATTAGTTGACGTGATACACGGAAACGGCAAAAGAAAACATAAGGGGGTTTGGGGGTGAGTTTAACGCAAGCAAAGTGGGGAGGTCAATTGTAATTTCTAGATTTAAAATGAGCTGGAACACTTTATTAATTCTCATGAGATTTAATACACATGGATACCCTCTTATTTCTTTGGGCACCCAAGAAATCCCCATTAATTAAAGACTATTTGTTTAGTTTTTTTATTTTTTGTATTTAAAATTGACAAACTTTGATAATTAAATACGGAGTACTTAAAATTTATACCTTGTACTTCTAATAATACATTGAAAATTTTAAAATACTATATTATCTAATTAGATCTATTTTATATAATATTTTTTTAAAATACTATATTATCTAATTAATATATCATGAAAATTTTCTTGATTATAAGTTAAAGTTCAATTCATGTTGCCAGCAAAAAATTAAAATTGAATAAATACTCTAAAACGGAGAGAGTATGAGGCTAGAGTTTATATGACATAGATAATGTGGAGTAAAAGATATCGAGGTATCCTAAAATAAGAAAATAGTATAGTTGTTTTTGAGACATCATTAAAAAGAAAATTGTAAAATTGTTTAAAAGATAGAGGGAGTATACATAATTCATATCTTTATTTATTTATTAAAATATAAAAAAAAGTCATGACAATCAGTTAAAACATTCTGCGTAGAATTTATATCAAAATAAAATAATTTTATATTATATCTCCTAAATAGGGAGTGTGACACTGTTATAGTGGTGTTCGAACCATCAAAATGTCTTATAATACTCGTATGTCCAATTGGTTTGTCCTTAGAATTTTACTTAGCCCCCGTTTGGTACACGGAATTCAAACTATGGAATTGAAATTGAGAATTTCAATTCCAAATCTTGTGTTTGGTAGCACAAAAATTATATGGAATTGGAATTGGTAGTGCAAAAAAATGAATTGGAATTAGGCCTCGTTTGGTACATGGAATTCAAACTATGGAATTGGAATTGGGGACTTCAATTCCAATTCTAGTGTTTGGTAGCACAAATATTGTGTAGATTTGGAATTGATAGTGCAAAAAATGAATTGAAATTGACAGAATTCAATTCTATGGAATTGAATCCCATGGGATTTTAATTCCAATTCAATTTCAATTCTATCAATTACGTATACCAAACAGACCCTTAGCATTTTGACACTAATTTGAATGCTGCATTTTGCTGCAAGAAGTTCTGCAAAAATGGAGCTCTGTAAGAACATTTATGTTAGAGGACATTTGGCATACTACTTGATTTAGCTCCCACAAACCATGCCACCCTTTGAGGCTCGAATTTAATCATGTTGTTTGGTTTATCTTGTAAGAAAATATTTTATTGTTCCGATTTCTTTGTATGGTTAGTGAAAATTGAGGCACTACATTCCACAATGTTTCTTCACTTTCTTAGAGCCTGTTTGGTAATAATGTTAGCGTTTTGAAAAGATTATCTACGACGGGGTTTAGCGTGAGCATTTTCAAAACAATATGCACCACAAAAATTTATTCAAAATGTTAACGTTAATCTATAATGCTATACCCAAAGAGACGCTTAGACACCAAACACGGCTCTCTATGCCCAATGTTGTGAAAATGGTGTTGTCTTCACTTGTTTACTCTTTGGAGTTTTAGGCCAAAAAAAGTATAATGAAACATGAAGTAAACTAAAACTCTTTATTAATCCCAAACAAATACTTGTATCTGATAAAGCAAGACATTCTACAACAACATTTGCAAGAACATATTGATATGTACATATAATAACAGTCATAAAAACATTGAAAAAAGCGGGGGGAAATGTATGGGTACACAAAATCTGGAACATGAAAAAAAAAGTGTAATACTCCGGAATAGATAACATGCAGAAGCAGTCAATCATCCTTGCAATCCTTGGTTGTAGTAGTAGGCCTAGCCTCGAAGCCCCCACCCACCCTCGGCTCTAGAGTGTAGGGCATGTAAGTCCCGAGTAATCTGTCCCATGTCACAAAGAAGGGTTGGGAGAAGTTATACTTTGTCCCGAAAAGCTGGTGATGAATGTCGTGATACGCAGAGTTGTTCTTGAAACAAAGATGAAAAGGATTCCCGGGCAACCACAGTCCACAATGGTCATCCACGGTTTTGATGGTGGCGAAGGAGAAGAAGAAGATTGCGGTCCGGGGGGACATGCCAGAGGCTAGGAAGGCCATAGCTCCCCCGATAGTGTCGAGAATCAGACCCTCCAGTGGGTGGTTGTACAAAGCTCCGAAAGCATAGGGGACCACAAGGCGGTGGTGTTGGGAGTGTATGTGTTTGTAGAGAAACTTGTTTTGATGCATGTATCTGTGCATGAAGTACTGCCACGTGTCAAGTACCGCCATTGCGGTGATGAATTGGCGGGCAAGACCGAAAAGTGATGTCGGTTGGTCTGCAGCATCTACGCTGTCGCTTCCGGTGACCTGCTTCATTTATTGTTTCATTAGATTGGAGCATTTTGCATTATTATTATCCCCAAGAAAACAAATTTATTAAAATGAAGAAACAACGAGTTTCTCAACTGATAAGAGAATCCTATTAAGACTTGAGATTCCGGAGAAATGAGGTTCCATCAAGACACAAATTAAGCCAACCAAGAATTAAGGTTGTGCAAAGCCACTAAATATAGACATATAATTGATTAAACCAACTTCATACAATACCAAACTAGAATCAGCAGGGAAAGTTGAAGAGGACGTAAATATCAATCATAGTCCACTTTTAAAGAAAATAACACAAATCGACTAGGAAACGTAAAGTATGTCATCTGTTATTTCTTAAGACTATAATGCCAATGGAAAACATTAATGACAAAAGAAACATGTCGCGCCAAGATTTACTACTCCGTATCACGGAATACTATATATGACAAAATCAGTGTTGCCAAATCACGAAAACCTTAAATTCTTCTTTCCAAAAAAAGAATCTTTTCTTTATCTTACAATTTGCAAAACACTACACTAGTCTCCGGCAAACATACTGATTGCACAATTCCATTACCAAGAATTCCAACAAAGATTACAGCTTTCAGCTCAGCTAAGCCTATTATCATTCATAAATGATGGAAGCTGTGCTTTTTTTATCCGCACTTAAGATCCTTGAAATTAAGTCCACAGCCATGGCAGTTGTGTGATGACTGAGATCATCAGTTCATAACCAATACAAGCTTACATGCGTTGTTTTATATGGAGTAAAATGATTATAGATTAAACAAGCAGAAAACCCTAATTTTAGCTTATTTATAGCATTACCAGTTCTATAATTTCAGACTCACGGCACTGAGCAAAGTACAGCAGAACACAAATTCATAATGACATCTAAAAGATCACAGTTTGGCCAATTTGGGTGCTTCAAAACGTACCGCGAAGAGGATGGCGGAGACGACAGCTTGCACGGCCTGTTGAAGGAAGACGCCCTTGACGACATCCTTCCTGGAGACCAGATTCTTCTCGTCTTCGTCCTTCTTAGAATGAAGCCTGTAATTATCCAATCCTCCGAGCATCAAATACAGACCCGAATACAGCCAATACACCGCTATCGGCACAAACGTTCCCAGCAATTCATCGGACACAAATCCTCCATCCTGCTTCATCTCCACCGCCTCTCCCCCCCTTTTTCCCTTCTAGCAATACAGATCTACGCGGAGAATTGAAGCGGATAGATCGGAGCTAGGGTTTCGGTGAGGACGGAGATCCGCCGTCCGGTGGGAAGAACAAAGAAAGCAGAAGCGCTCGCCCGCCGTCGGGCCGAAGAGAAATCGGACCAATGGAAGCAGAGGGAATCGCTTTTGGGGGGGTTTCAACGATGAATACGCGTCTTGACCATTGACCTCGACCTCGGCATGGCTTGTCCGCCTAATCCAACGGCCACGGAGTCTCTCATTCTGGCTGGGGGCCGCCTAAATAAAATAATCTTAAAAAAGCATATTAGTTTTTTTGCCGGCATGAGCCTCAATTGGTGGAGAATTTTAAATCTTGGACCGTTGGACCGATGATCAGATATCGAGTCCCGCAAGCAGCAATGTGGAGTTATCCAAAACTCACATAAAGGGTGAGGAGGCTCCCTGTGCGTGGTGGAACGGGTCTAGCGTTCTTGACCGACTGAGTCATCATGATTTACCTCCTCCATCATCCATGTCAGGCCATGAGGGTGGGGGCACCTGGAGTGGATGATTCTACCTTTTGAACCGATCTTTAAAAAGCATATGGAGTATAGTTTTTGGGTACTCCGTAGTACTTCCTCCGTCTCAGTGTATTTGTTCAGATTGACTTTTCGAGTCAAACTGGACAAACTTTGAGCTTCAATTAAATAAAAACTGTAATGTATTTTAACATAAAATTGACTTTATTGAAATTATCATATTGAGAACTTTCAAAATTGTACTCCCTCCGTCCCTGAAAACCTTTCTCCTTTCTTTTTTCATTCGTCCCAAAAAACACTTCTTATTTCTATTAAAAGGTCATTTTTACCCCTTGCTTTTTCATACCCTACCTATCACATCATACCTTTTTACTAATAATATATCCATCAAATCATACTTTTACCCATCACATCAAAGGACATTTTTGGAAATTCAGTACTAAAATACACTCTCTTTAAATCCCTCTTGAAAATCAAAACTTCCATGTTTTCCGGGACGGAGGGAGTATTTCATTATGCTAATATGCAATATAAATTTAGAGTAATTGGAGTTCAAAATTTGTTTAGTTTGACTAAAAAAATCAAACTGGACAAATACACTGAGACGAAGGTAATATTTATTTTAGTATGCGATAATTTTTAAATAAATTAAATTAAAAAATATGTATTCAAACATTATAAACACCAACGAATAACTTAAATTTGGGTGATATGAGTAGCCAGTCATCCTTTTTTCTTATATGTTTTGCAAATTCTCAAATTCAATCGTTACAAATTCTTTATACTATGTTTGGTTCAAGTAATTTGGAAGAAAAGGAAAAAAAAATGATTTTCTCTCATTTTCCTCACCAAAATGGAAGGAATCTGATTTTATCGCCTCTTAATATATTATGTCTTCTCATTTCTTTCTCCTTTCATTTCTCTTTTCTTTTCCTCTCTAACCAAACAAGAAAAACTATTTTCTAACTCATTTTCTTTTCTTTTTCCATTTCAAATTCCGAACCAAACATAGTCTTAGTGATTCAATACTATGATTTCTTTAAGAAAAACATAATATTATTTATTCAAAAATACGGATTAGTTTTACAAAAAAACTTAAGATACCTCAAATTTGACACTTTGACCCCATTTTTCATCATTATCTTTGCAAACATCACATATGAGACAAAATATGAGATTTGGAATATATATACAGTAATACATGGTATTTTTTATACTGACACAGATGTCCAGAATTTTGTGTTCATACATATAAATAGAGGACTAACCAACATAGTTATTATAAACAAACACAACACTTACTAACCAACACATATATCAGAAACCAACAGAATTCCCTTTTTTTAATTTAAACTAACTAATTTCTGAATTGGAATTAACCAACAACGTACACGAACACATATTAACCAACACATATGTCTTTGAAGTTTAAAGATACACCATGTATAACTCATTTTAAATTTGTAAACTCGTGTGCATGTGGAATTGAATCACTTGAAAGAAATCATTTATAAATATCTCGTTATTTCAAAAACAAACATAGTTGGCTCGTGCCAAATCCTAAGAATTATCATTTGGTGGTCCCAAAGTGGTGAGATACAAAGTCTAGAGGGAGGGGGGGTGAATAGACTTTGTTACAAATTTAAAACTTTTTCGTTTCTTTTGAAAACGTGAAAATGATTGTTAATCTAGAGTTCTTGTGAATTTTAAATTGTGTGCGGAATTTGGTGGGTAGAGTGAGCAGTAATCAATATGGATGAGTTAGTTTTCACAGTTAATATAATTGCAAGTAAGAATGAAGATAACAGAGAGAGACACGCAAACTTTAACGAGGTTCAAAGGTGGGGTAATTCTTCTACGTCCTCAAAATTCACTATGTAGTTGGTTGTTGAATAATGAACCAACAATTACACTTGTGTGAAATTCTGCACGGTATATCTTCGCAAGGCCAATGTTGCTACCGCACTCGTGCTGGCTTTGTTGTTCCTTCAAAGGTCACGCTTCTTCAACAATTGCAAGGTCCGAACAATAGGACTTGCAAGATCAACTTGTAAGAAAGTTGACCTACCCCCTTTCAATCAATAAGTTTGATCAAAAGTTGTATCCTTCAACGTGGTGTGGTACTTGAGGCAAGGAAACCTTCAAGTATTTACACTATAGCTCTTTAGAAGGAGGAGAAGTTTGCTTCTAGATAAGGAGTTTAGAAATCTCTCTTTATCAAGCTTTTTGGGCTAACTTTGAATGAGGTAGCTTTGTTGTGGTTGCTTTTCTTATCGTTGTCGTTCTTGTCTTCTCCAGTCTTTCAAGGATGCTATTTATAGCTGGATTGGATAATCTATCCGTTGAATCAAAATAGACTATCCGTTGCATTTGCTGGCTTCAATTTTGAATGAAGATTGTGATTTGAAGATTCCTCATTGGAATGGGTGTTTGGACATACCCAATTGTTTAAGGAGGGATTCCTTTTTCCATAGAATCTGTCTTCTAGCTGTTGTTCAGGAATTCTGGACTGTAGCACTTTACTCTGTTTGTCTTCTAGTGCTTGTTTAGGAATTCTGGACAGACTCTTCAATTTTTAGAGGTCCAGACTTTGTCTTCGAGTCATTTGTTCTTGAATCAGCATAATTATCTTCAATCTAGCCGTTGAAAATCAAGAGATTGATTTTTCCTTACCAACGGGTAGAATTTCTTCATTCAAGACTTAGATAATTTTCTAAGTCTTTTCTCACTTGTCCGCTTTTTGAGAATTCCGGTCTTTCTTGAGGCATCCGGTTCTTAGCTGACAAACCCGGAAGAGTCATACTCAGTCTTCCGGGTGAGAAAGAAATCTGCGCTAGTCTTCCGACTTAGCCTTCAGCGGGTTGTAGCGAGACATCCGGTTCTTATGTAGTCTTCCGGATTGGAGGATTTTCGTCCGCTTTGAGAAATCCCTACTTGTCTCTGACATTTCCGATCAAGATATCCAATTTCCAAATTACTGAATTTGATTAAGTCTTCAGGCATCAAACCGCTTAAAGAAATATCACAACTTTATTGGAAATCTCAAGAACTCGGTTTTAACAATATTTCTAAAAAGAAAAATTACATTGAATATTTGGGAAGACCTAAAGTCCCTATTACATTCTAAATACATCATCATCAAAATCTATAATATTTTTCCCAACATCATTTTTCATCAATCACGTACTTATGCATTACCGATGTGAGAACAAATTATCATTCTCAATCAATCCCTAAAAAAGGTATGCTTAATTATAATGTATATTTGAATTTTTTTATAATATATATTTATTTAAAATTCTATTTTTTTAATCGTAAAAAACCTGCAAAAATATCAAACTAATAAGATGATAATTTTGAGACTAATAGTATACTCCATATTTATTTATTAAGGAGTGGTATACAATAGGTGTACCGATTGGAGGGTAGAGTAGTATAATATCATGAGTTAATAGTCATTTTGATCCTTCTAAATTTACTCACGACCCAATTCGATTTCTATTTATTTGAATTAAATTAGTCCCTATATATAGAAAATATGAATCAAATTATTCATTCCAACATAAATTTATCTTCTAAAATTTTGAATTATCACGTCAATTGATGAAAGAGCAATGACCATGTATTTGTTTTGTATCAATTAACGTGTCAACTTAGAGTTTTAGAATATAAATTTTGCATAAAGAACTCATTTTAGTAATTTGATTCACATTTTTTAGTTACAAGGACTAATTTAACTATATCAAACTTATAGGAATCAAATTGATTTATGACTAAAACGAGTATTAGCTCATACTAGCATGAGTTCTATCCAATATATCATATCCTATATCACACACACACACATATATATTGAATTCAACACATATATGTAAAAGAGAGTTATTTAGTTGTGGTGAAGACATGTGACATGACAAATTTTTTTTATTCACATGACATAATGTCATTATTTTATTGGTCCTCATCACATTTATTAGAATATTTTTTATTTAAAAAACTATTCATCATTATTGTATTTAATTACAATAAATTTGTAAATATAAAACTTTTCATCTTCTAATTGTTACACTAATATGTCTTTCATCATTTTAAATTATATTTTAATGCCTTATTATTTAATTCCTTTTTTCAAATGTTATATAACCTTTATTAAATTTTCAAAAGACAACACTTTGAATGAATTTTGACACCATTTTTCCTTATAATTTCATTTTAAAAAGTATAGATTTATATGACATATACTCCGTAATACATTTGCATCATTATTAAAATTATAATTTTTATTTCAAAACAATATCATAAGAATTCGTTAAAAAAATCATTTCTTATTTATTTATTGTATCTACTATTAAAAATATTATATTTAGTAGTTAAAATATAGGGAGTATATATATGGATGCGTGCATATTTAGTATTTCACAATTTTTTCTTTTTATTACATTTTAATAAAAATATATAAAGTACCATATCCATTAATCTAACCAATATAAACTATTATAAATAAATTTTAGAGCATGAGGATTATTGTTAAAATACAATTTTTTTTTTTTAAAAATATCGCATCTAATAATAGTCTAGCTAAAATAAAACATCATATGCAAATTTCTTAAAAAAACTTATAACGTATGTCATATTATCATTAAAAAATTTAGAATAAATACAATAACATTTTAATTCACATAATGTTTACATATTAGTTGAACTTTTAACAAATATACAAAATGTTAATATAATTCTTAAATAGTCATACATATATCTCTGTTCGCTATTTTATTTGCTATTTTTTCTTGGAGTTCATTTTTTTTAGAAAATAGTGAAATAAAATATACTTCATACTTTTTTTATTTTCATATATGTATAGTGTTTGATACACAAAGTACAAAGATGGTAAAATAAAACAAAAATTCAAACTTTTCCTTCAAAAGTTAAAATATAGTTTTGTGTCAAAATTATAAATTTAATTAGTCAAAGTGTAAAATAATAAGAGTCATAGAGAAAATTAATGAATACATCCTTACCTCGCATACCACAATATCTCAAAAAATGAAAAGTATAACAAAGTTATTTACAAATAGTTAATCTATTATACTTCATATGTACATGTGTGTATAATATGTATGTACTAGTATTTGAACCCGTGCCATGCACTAGTGGAACAAAATTTTTTGTCGATTCTAACTAAAATTTAAAGCAATATTTTTTCAAAAATAAAGAAAATATACTTCTCGCATGATATTTAATATCATAGAAAAAAAACCAAAGTGGAATAAATAATATTTGAGGGATTGATTGTGTACAACACAAAAAAAATTAATACCAAATTTTCTGAAAGACTTTAGGGTATACAAAAGATATGTTCATTGTTCTTATTATTATTTTAAAAAAAATTAAAAATAAATTTTAAATTTTACCATTTTCTTTTTGTTAAGAAAAAGAATTTGAGTATCATTTCTTTTTTTTAAATAAATTTCAACCACATGTTTTTTTTTAAATTTTTTTCATTAATTTATTAAGTTATTTTTTTAATTTTTGGAAAAGTCAAATTATTATTCGGTTTTTTTCTTTTTTAATATAAATAAGGTATGTGTTATACTAAAAAAATGCATTATTTTTCCATTCATATTTTTATTGCATTTTAATATACATAGAATACATTTCTATTTTCAAAAAGATTTTGAAATATCAAATTTATATTATTCAATTTTATTTTTAAAGAAAATAGTGTTTGAGTATGATATATTTTTTGGTTTCAAATAAACATCATAGTATTTTTTTACATCAATATTATGGTCGTTTATTTTTTTGGTGAATTCAAGTTGCTAGTAGGTTTTTCAATAGTGTAGAAGTATTTGAAAAATAATGTTAACATCAAAGATGTTAAAATTTGAGGTGTGCATGAATACTTTTTATCATTTGTTTTCTTTTTAATAAAAATAAGCCATGTGCTATATAATGAACATTGCATTGGGGATCGTATATAATTCGTTTGCCTTTTAACCTTCGTGGTATAAACATGTATATGAAAATTATTTAATCCTTTTTATCAATTAATATCTTAAAGTTCATCAATTTAATCGGCATGAATTTCTTACTCTGTGTATAATATTTTTTAAATTTTACTCAATTATTACGTGACGTTAACATGTTAAAGTTTTGCCAAATAGACATGCCAAATGTCGAATTGCTGTAAATCGGAGTCTCCTTTATTATAGGAAAGGATTATTTAATTTAAATATTTTCCAATAAGGAAATAAAATATAAAATTTTTTAAATGCGATTGTGCCGAGAAATCTGCGTTTAACAAATACAAAATTTAATTTCCATAAAATAAGTGTTTTTGTTAACTAATTCTTTAAAAATTACTGGCTAACGTGGCAAGCTGACATGTCAAAAAAGTTGACTAATAAGCGTGCCACATGTCACGATCATAGAAGCCCAACTCTCAAATTTTATATATAAAGATTTAATTTAGTCCTACTAATCTATCCCTTCTTGGAATAAATTTGTTTGTTTTGATTTTTTTAAATATGAGTTCCTTGTTTAAATACTACGTATCAAAATATATTATTAAATTTTAATATTTTCCAATAATGATGTAAAATATAAAAGTTTTTAAACACGATTATGCTGAGAAATCTGTGTTTAACAAATACGAAAATCAATTTCCACAAAATAAGTGTTTTTGTTAACTAATTCTTTAAATATTACTTGCTGACATGACATGCTAACATGTCAAAAAAATTGTCTAATAAGCGTTCCACATCTCATAATACTAGAAGCCCAGCTCTCAAATTTTATGTATAAAGATTCTATCAATAGTTATTATGATTGAACAACTTTAATATAATGTAAATTTTATTTTTTAATATAATACACAGTTAACAATTTTATACTAGCATCAATTTGCGGCAAGTAGGAGAGGTGTTGGTTGCCTCCGCCGGAAAACACAAGAAGAGATCAATGGAAGCCATTCATCTTCTCAGAGCTATCAAACCCTTCAGACTCCACCCGAAACTCACCGAATCTATCCGCGTTCGACGCTCCCCTTCGTCTTCTTCGCTTGCTTCGAAGACTCAAACGGGTCAGCTATTTTTCATCCCATCTCACATTCACAAATGCGGCTACTCGTCACTTTTAGTTTTCCATTTTCTCACCATTTTGGTTTGGACATGCCATAATTACATGTTGAGCATTTCTTGTGAAGATATTCATATTTTAAATTTTTTAATCTCATTTCGTTGTTATATTTAGTATGAATCTGTATTGTTAATAAACCGTTTCTAGGTGTAATTTTCAAGTAAAAAGGTTGCAGCTTTGTGCTTTGAAATTGATACAATGGGAAGGGTACAAGTTTATAAAGAATGTTGACACCATGCCGCCTAGATTTTGTAGTTTTTTCTTGAATTTGGGCGATTAATTTCGCACTTTAATTTTTTCCCATCACTGTCTCAATATAGGTGAAATTAAGGTGATTATTGTTATTATTGTTTTGTTAGCTATTAGTCATGAGTATGATTAATTCCTTGAAGATGTATGATTCAAGTCCTATCATTTCGCTCGGTTACAGTGCTTTTTCTTTTCCCTTTCGATTGGATGTTTATATATTACAAAAAGGTCACATTTTATTAAATTTGCAGGAGGAAGAAAGGCGGCAATGAGAGAATATGACGGACTATTGTTGGACGCTGCTGGTACATTATTGCAGTTGGCTAAGCCTGTTGAAGAGACTTATGCTTCCATTGGCACAAAATATGGTCTGCTTCATCTTTTAATCATTATGACCTCTCTTCACTTCTATAGCTGTCTGATTTGAAGCGCGGACAAAAGCTTTGGATTTATTTATTCGTTCAATGAAAAGCTTTGAAACTTTTTGAGTAATTCTGTAGTTGCTTAGTCGTGAATGAGGGGAAATATATGTTCAAGTTTTAACATCGGTGTCGTCAGAGTAAAATGATTATGGCCAAACAATGGTTGGATATATATAATATAGAGTGATTAAATCGCACGAGGGTGTTATTCCATCTTCCGACCCCACCTGGATATCTCCACATAAAATCCCATGTTCTTCGCCATTTCACCGATGCCTTCATGGCTTCATCTCTCTCAATCCAAAAGAAAGCTGTGAAACTTTTTTTTTCTGTATGTATACAATTTAGATTTGCATAGAGGTTCCAATACCATCCCGAAGAGCCAATCTTTTAGAAGTAGCAAGAGACTATGCGTTGGTTTATACCTTTGTGTGTTTCTTTGGTCTAGGATTGATCGCTTAACATGAACAACTTTTCAAATAACCATAACAGGCCTTACCACCACACCAGCTGAGATAAAGAAAGGTTTCAAGAGAGCATTTTCTGCTCCATGGCCCGAAGGGCTGCGGTATCAGGTTTGCTCATGTCATTAAGCTCGCATGTAAACCTCCCTCTTGATCGTCTGAATGATATGTAAAGCCTCTTTGTTCACATTAATTGTTCTGTATTTAACTGGATTTTTTTCCCAAAATTAAAATTATTATTATTGTATGGAGTATCTTTTTCTCCATCAAAAGTTTATCTTTTCAACTCAAGAACACAACTGCATTTTTCTTGTTTTGTTATCGTGTTGAAATGGCCATCAAAACTTTCTTGCACCGTGGTGAACTTTTTATGCTTCTCTTGTATTGCCTACAAACAGTTAGAGTGCAAATTATTGGCAGGGAGATGGAAGACCATTTTGGAAGTTCATTGTTTCCGTAGCAACTGGTTGTAGTGAAGAAGGTTACTTTGAAGAAGTTTACCAGGTGATTCTTGCATCCGCCCTTTTCCATAAACCTAATTCCACTTGCCTTTTTATCCTTTTTCTGGGTTATAAAAAGGCAAGAGTCTACTTTGAAATTGGTCACCTGAATATCATTATAGTATACAATATTTATTTTAATTTCCAAAATTAATTGTTTCTTATCATATTTCTTTTCAATTCAGCACTATGCAAATGGGGATGCTTGGCGTCTGCCAGCCGAAGCCTCTGATATTTTATCAAATCTTAAAGATAGTGGAGGTTTCAAGTGTCTTTATGCATCTCATGAAGCTTTATATGAATTACGGAGTATATGGTTATACATTGCCGCTTTAACTTCTGAAAATATGTTACAGTCAAACTGGCAGTTGTGTCCAATTTTGACACCCGTTTGAGGAAGTTATTGGAGCATCTCAATGTGGTTCATCTGTAAGCATCTCCTTTTACAATTCTTTCCTCGCAAACTTTCAAAAAATTCCGGCAAACATCTATCACTATTCTAATGTTTTGGTGTTCTTTTAATTCTTTATAATATAATTGCTCTTTTTTTAAAAAAAATAATATTCCGTATAGGTTTGACGCAGTAATAGTGTCTGCAGAGGTTGGATATGAAAAACCGGATGCTAAGATATTTGAAGCTGCTCTGGGTAGGTTCCTAAGCTCACTGTCCTTTTCTTAATCCACTTAGTCATCCTGTTAAAACATTGATAACAAAGGGCAAGGTGATGAGTGAGGGTCCCACCATGAGAGTGTGATAGTCAAGTATTTGTAGAAACTTGTGATAGTAGTGGTAAAGTCTGCTTAGTTCTTACACACTCTTCCGAGACCCTACGTTTTTGGGGGATTTTATTGGGTTTGTTGTTGTTTTTGTCATTTTTGTAGATCAGATATGTGTAAAAAAGGAAATGGCAGTCCATGTTGGAGATGACCCTAAGGCTGATAGGGAAGGTGCTAATGCTGCTGGAATTGAGTGCTGGTAGGGTATTGCCTCTATTAGAAGGCAGCAAATTTTTTTAAGTACTCTATTCTCCAATAATAACGATCTGCAATGGATTTGTCATAATTGTTTCTTGTCATAAGTCATAGCTTGAGAAACATATCCATATTGAATTCTTGGTAGTTGTTTTGAAAAGTTAAAAGCAAAAAAATAAAAAGTAAATAAGGAACAACTTATCCTTTTATGTCCCCTTGGATTGGTCAAATTTTAAATGTGAGTTCTAAACTTCTATGTGAACAGGCTATGGGGCACAGATGTGAAGTCTTTTGCTGATATACAGAGCCGTGTTGTGATTGAGCCTTGAAAACTGCCAAAAACCGTTATATCCGGCGAGCAGAAAATGCACTCATTTAAACTTTCACTCTCCTTTAGAGAATGTTGAAGTTATGTTTCTCATTCCATTTAAAGAATGACTTGTGGCTCTTTCCTCTGCACAAATCTCAACCACACGATTTCATTCTTCTTCAACTCCATAAAACAACAAATGGGAATTTAGTTTAGGACGGAGGGAGTAAAAGAATGAATGTCATTCTTGCCATTGTCTTCTCTTTATTCCTACAGCTTTCCAAGATCTTCTTGGAAATCCAAAATATGGCGTGAGAGGTGGAAGCATATTGGAGTCCCACAAATTATACCGTACATCTGGATATAATTTTATTTTCATATACATCCAATGAGCATTATGCAACTCGTAAATGTGCATACACTAATTTCACAATGTGTGTGCTCTCAGTATGTTAAAAAAAAGATCTGAGCATTTTTGCAATTTCATTATTAAGATTTTGCTTTTATTCTTTCACTGATCATAAGTGTTAATTAGCTACAAAATACAGAATTATTTTACCAACAAATTGAACATTGTGCAATTTGTGTACATCAATTTCATAACATGCATGTTTCAAGTAAATATAAAGAAATAAATATGTGAAATGAGTATTTTTGTAATTTATAAACGTGCTGTCACTTTTTGTTTGTGATATGGGGGAGTGACGCGAAAAATTAAAAGTGGGACGGATAAAACATGGTTATGATAATAAATAAAAAAAAGTAAGAATGAGTGTGAATTATACAGACATTACTAAATATGGTACGAGACAAATATAGTGGGACGGATAAAACATTCTTATATGCGGTTATGATAATAAATAAATAAAAGAGGTGGGGAGAGACTCTTAATTTCAATTTTTTGCATAATTAAAACCCATGCATTCACATATACCTTTTGACTTTATTCCCACACATTGAAAAAATTACCTGGGTTGAAAAAAAAGCTAAAGACAATGCAAAGGGACCTCATATTTATGTCCTGCCTCCATGTTTATGATCTGATGAAGAAATCTTAAGAAAAGAAATACAGACCAAGTAGAAACGCTTGGTGTTATGGGACGGCGGCGATCCAATGACGAGAATACACTTCACAAAATACTTGGGTTTTTCACAAGTGCTGTAGATGCTTTGTACGATGATTGATTTGATTCTTCCCCATTTTTCTTATCTCTGTTTGTTGTTATCTATATTCCTTGTTTGGCTTCGCTTCTTCACCGAGTTTACTTTGTTCCATTTTCAGGCCTCACCTGGTGAATTACATCTTCATTCCTTATTTTCTGTAAGTCACCCGTCCGGATTTAGTTGTTCACATTCTTGTTTTTGTTTATGCGTAAGTAATTCTTCACTTGTTCTTGTTCAATAAGAGTGACAAGCTCATTAAAATTATTCATTTGGCGTTCTAAACTCATTTCTTGATAGTCTTTAGAAAGTTGATAACTAAATTCAGACGGAATGAGTACTTCCCTGAAGGCCGTAATTTTATCCGTTCAGATATGATCCGGATTTTTTCACAGCTCTGAATAACTCATCTCGTTCCACCAAATCCGGGCCACATCTGAACCGCAAATCTAAAAAAAAAATACTGAATGTATATTTGCTTGCGATACAGATGGCAGTCGTTCAAGGCAATAGGGAGCAGCAACTCAGGAGATGAAAAGAAATGGCTAAAGTTTTGGGTTCTTTACTTTGTCATCGATTTCTTAGAGAGTACATTTCCGCAAACATTTGAATGGTGATCTTCCCTTTTATCCTTTATCCCTTTTGATTTAATTGTTCCTTTATCCATTAATTTGTATATTTCCCTTTTAATAGTACTAAAACCTGCTTCATATGCCAATTAAACAATGTACAATGTTAACATACTATTTATAGTGCCAACAAACCTATTCTAAGGGATAAAAACGTAGGAGGGCTTAATGTGTTACACGTTCCATGTTTTTAGCCTCTCTTTTTTAACGGTGTTTTTAGTCTTATTGTTATTGATTTAACGTACTTCTTCTGTTCCAAAATCAAAGTCAAGAATACAAGATAAGGCTATGTTTTCTTTCTTTCTTTTAGTGTACCCTTGGCGTGTTAGCGATGAATATTGTACTGAATAATGATGAATCCGGGCTCCCAATATGGCCCTCTGCTAAAGCGGTAATAATATGCTGGTTGGCTTATCCCGGCCCCCTCAACGGAGCAAATTACATTTACAATAAGTGTATCCACCCGCTCTTAAGTTACCGAAAGCGCGTGAGGGTTTCATTTTCGGAAGATATGGTTAACCCATTTAGCAAGAAGCCAGATGATGATCATGATGATTGAAGCTTTAGCTTTCTCAACCAAAAAAAGGCCATGGCTGGGTAATGCAGAGACCATTCTTCTTGGACCAGAAGAAAGAGTACTAATCCCTATTGATACAACAATGATTTCATTATACTTACCTTGTAAACACTTTCCATAACTTGTTTTTTCTTTGGTATTAACATGCATTTTTTTCTGTATTAAGAAGGGCGTGTTTTCTTCGTCTGAATTGATTGGTTCTGATATGAATTTATTAAGGTCTTATCTGATATGATTTGATTTTGCTTAATAGTTAAAACGGTTTTTGATTTGATTCTAAGAAAAATAAATGGAAGAGAATCGATTCCAAGTCATTGTTCAAAGGTGATTGCTTGGAAAATATTAGTTGTTTAGAATAATCAAATAGAGCCAAAGATAAATGTACATCAAGAGTCGTCTCGTTTAAAAATGAAAAACAGATTAATAGTAAATGCGGTTAAACTTGTGGCTTGATCTAATGGATAATCACTTTGGAATCATCAATTTATTGAATTTATTTACTTGTGTTTATTGTTAGATTTTCTAAAATGGCGGTAGTTTTCTTTAGTTTTCTTTATTTCATCCATCATTGCAATTTTTATCCAATGATGATTAATGAAGACTTTTCACCCAACAATATACTTCGTAGTTGGGACTAAGGGTCTGTTCTTTAGCATTGGAAAAAAGATGTTGGATTTTGGACGAAATTGAAAAAACATTGAAGAAATTGGAAAAACAAGAAAAAGTTAAAAGAAAAAGAAAGAAACTGGAAAATCTATAAATGCTCGAAATCATCATTTTCATTGAGGATATGTGATTGAAGAAATGAGGAAGTAAATATAGAGTACTTTTGAAGTTTAACCAATCCAAAATCAATCAAAATTAGGTTGGAGGTAAGATCGGAAAACGGACATTAATGACTCTAATTGAGATTGGTTTATTTTAGACTTAGAATACAAATCGAATCGCTATGAAATTTAGGGGTGTTTTTATTCAATTCGAAGTTATGGTGAGTGAAATACGTCATTCCGAAGTTGCTCTCGAACTAAAACATTTATACATCTATTATTTCTACTTTAAAAATATGAACATAAATGACAAAATTACAAAATTTATATGATCTTGTAAACCTAATTATCAAATTCATAGACATGGAATCATGCGATTGTAATATTTGATAGATGAGAAATGAATTCCTAAAATTGCACAAAAGAACAATTTTTATTCTATTTTGTCGTTAATTTGTGGTTTAGAGTTCAAATACTCATTAGTAGACATATTATTTTATTCGAATGATGCGATACTAACCTGTTTTGAACTAAGTGAAAAAGAAGTTAATATGAGTAGTTCTTAGTTAGTGACTTAAAACTAGATCGGTTATTGACTAATCTTACTTAGAATATACAACTCTAATCAATTCTGATTCGTTATATCATCTAACTTGCAACATGAGTGCCCTACTTCATAAAATTTTACGGAGTACACATTTAAAAAGAAAAGATAATCTCTCCGTCCTAAACCGTATTTCCTAGATATGATTCATACGGTCAAACATTAATCACTTTCTTTACTTATTTTCGTTAGTTATTTGATAAAATAATATAATCTTGTCATCTCTTGTTTTGAAGAATATTTGATTTAGTTTTGAAATATATTAATTTTATTTTTTAATTTTACACATACAATCAAATAAATTAAACTGGAAATAAAATCGATCAACCACGTAAACAAAAACGGGAAACACATTTGAGGACGGAGTGAGTACAAAAATTCAAAAAAGAAAAAACGCAAATATGTACGAAAGAGTCAATTACACGTACTGGGCTTTTGTAAATATTGGCCCGAAATGGTTAACATATTGAGAGAACATAAAACTTCCAATGAATGGACTCAAGCCCAACTATAGATCTTTCTATAAACCCATCATCTGCCCTAGAAATATATCGTGGACTATATAAACTCCCCTTTGTCCACTGATCGCCTCTCCGATCCCGACGGCGAATCACCGGTCTTACAGTCCAGATCCGGCCAGGTATTTCAATTTCGCGGTTCCGCTTTCGCCATCTTCTTCCTTCCAACTCTTTTTTTTTAAAAAAATTCTTTTTCCATAATTTTCAAGATGATTTGTGTTAGGATTTAAATTGAACAGACTGTAATGCGTTTCGTTTCTCTTTTGCATAGGATATTCCTGCAGATCGCGGCAGCCGAATATGGTTCACGTCTCCTATTACCGCAACTGTGAGCATTTCCGTTCCATGTTTTCAATTCTCAGAATCCATAAATTTTTGTGCATTTTATTATTAGCTAAACCTCCGTATGTTCATATGTTAATGCAGAAGTTATATACTCTGTAGTATTGTGATTCACCAAATTGTTACTGCCAATACTCATTTAACAGAAATTTATTAAAGCATCAGTGATCTTATCTATTGCCAAGAAAAAACTACATGCATTTTTCATGTTATAATCATGAAACATTGTGTATGGTTCATAGTCAAAAACTTCTTGTTCTATCTGCTTCCCCCTTATTTCTATTGTAGTCCTAGAGTGTAAGCAATTTTGAAAATTTTGACACCTTTTGGAAGTGAGAAAATTGATTTGAGATGGAGGGAGTATATCATAACACCAAAAAAGCCTAAAGTATTATCAATGTAGTTGATAACTACTCAATTAATCAGATGATCATCTAATAGGAAATCTATGCTGTTGTGTAATGTTTTTGGATATATCAGTATTCTTTTCAGTTAGTAGTTTAATACATGCATATATGATATGAAACATAGATGGTAAGACATTCAAGAAGCCTCGTCGCCCATATGAAAAGGAGCGTTTGGATGCTGAGCTTAAGCTCGTTGGTGAATATGGGCTAAGGTGTAAGAGGGAACTTTGGAGGGTTCAGTATGCTCTGAGTCGGATCAGGAATAATGCTAGAATGCTCCTGACCCTTGATGAAAAGAACCCAAAACGTATTTTTGAGGGTGATGCACTCCTTAGGAAGATGAACAGATATGGACTGCTTGACGAGACCCAGAACAAGCTTGATTATGTCCTTGCCCTCACAGTTGAAAACTTCCTTGAGCGTCGTCTCCAAACTTTGGTCTTTAAAGCTGGCATGGCAAAGTCCATCCATCATTCACGTGTTCTTATCAGGCAGAAGCACATCAGGTATAGATGTCCTCCAAATTCTTCTTGTATTCCTTGTTTGCAGAATTTCATTCATGTAACAATGTCTGTTTAGGACTAGTTTTTCAATGAGGTTGACACCCAAAATATATGTTAAATTATTTGATTCATATCTTATTTGTCAGTCTGAAGTTGATTTTAGATCTGTGTTATAGGTACAAGCTGACATGTTTTTTCTTCACATTTTTAAAGACAGGAAAAGCCATAACTCTGGGAACTTTTATTTCCAATTTATACAATTTTGTTGTCCCAATACAGCTTAATATAACATTGGATAAGTTGTTTGAGCATAGGACTTTGCGTTAGATATAGATTCAAGTGCAATGCTAATGCTAACGATTTACCTATTTCTTCTTGCCATTCACTCACAAAAAACATATTTTCTGTTCTCCATCATATCATGATTTTTAACTTATGTCACATTATCTTTAAAATTTTTGTGTCATTTATATTCGAAGGCTAATAAACAACCCAGTAGTCCCATGAAGGTAGGGGTCATATAGGGATGAGTGTGTGTGTATTCCTATTTTTTAAAATACCAGAATATAGTCAAATTAGATTGTTTTTAATTAGAATTGTGAAGTGTAGAACTGATATGGTTGGCGTGTTTTTTTCTGTTGGTCTTTTACAATTTTAATTTTGAAATATTATTTGGTCACCCCAGGGTTGGAAGGCAGGTGGTGAATGTACCCTCCTTCCTGGTTAGAGTGGACTCCCAGAAGCACATTGATTTCTCACTCAACAGTCCATTCGGGGGTGGTCGCCCCGGTAGAGTGAAGAGAAGGAACCTGAAGGCAGCTGCCAAGAAGGCTGCGGGTGGGGATGTTGAAGAGGATGAAGAGAGTGGATGAAAAGTGAGTCAAATGTTTCTCTTCTTTGGGTTATCTACTTGGCCTAGTGGATGTTTTGACATTTCTTCTATTCAACCATATATCATCATGAGAGTCATATTTATAGTTAAATCTGCAAGACCCTCTTTTTTGTTGCTGTGTTATTTTTGTAGCAAACTCTTGTTTTGACCAAGCTTGACTTTAATTTCATCCCTCTCTTTCGACAATACCCTTTTTGTATGTTTGGTTTTTGGCATTTTGCACTGTTCTTAAATGATCCTTATTTTCCTAAAAGAATTTTCTGTTTTTTTGAGCTGTCCCAAGAATAGGTCGAGGGTTGTACTTTACTGCTTGATAACCATTGGTCCTAAAGTAAATCGGGATTACCATTTATCTTAATGACTTGCATCACTTATTTATTCTTTCCATTCCTTTTTACACGAAAGGTAAGAAATGAAATTATGTGGTTGATATTTGTATGGATGAGGGTATTGATGCAAAAAAGAAAAATTAGAATGATCTAAAAGTAGAAAAGAGCAATGTTACGTTTACAAATAGAATTGATCACAAACTCTACAAACTTACTATTTATATTTTAAATTTCCAATTTAAAATTGTTGTAGACCATTTAAATACTCCGTAGTTAAGTTTGTAAATTTTGTGATGATTGTATTTGTGAACTAAGCATTTCCCAGTAAAAAATGTGACGGTGCTTTGCACAATTAGCCCAATATTGAATTTGTTTTTCAATTGAATCGTGCATTTAACTTTTACGCTATACTCTGCATCTCGTACCATTCTTCTCATTTTGATTTTTACGGCCAACATTTAATATCAATAGATTAATTTCAACACGTAGTTTTGAAATATCATATTTCTATAGCCTGTGAATACACACAAATAGAGATGTTAGTAGTCAAAATATTCTATTGGATATCGTGAAAAATCAAATTAGGAGAAAGATATGAGATGGAGTATATGTTTGGTTTAAAATACCTTGAAGTAAAAAAAAGACGGAGTGTAATGTTAATGTAAAGTGTTGAACTAGTTGAGTTTGATTAAATTCATTTAGGCTCCGTTTGGTATACGGAATTCAATTTATGGAATTGGAATTGAAAACTTCAATTCTAATTTTGGTGTTTGGTAGCAAAAAAATTATGTGCATTTGGAATTGGAATTGATAGTGCAAAAAATGAATAAGAATCGGTGAATTCAATTCTATGGAATTGAATCTCATGGAATTACAATTTCAATTCTATCAATTTCGTATACCAATCGGAACCTTAAATTGAAAAGGACCCTTAAATTGAAAATTGAGTTGAAGTTAGAACTTTTCTTAGTCGCACATCAAACTTTTTGGATTTTATTGAGCACACATATTTTAAAAAAAATTGATGAAGTAAATGTGAAATTTGCCAGGAATTTATACTCCCTATTTCTAGATGTATTTTTTAAATGAAATAATTAAGTAATACTCCATATAATACTCCCGTCCAAAATAAACTTAATATGTGAAAATGATGTAAACTTTAAGAAAAATAGAATTGTGTTTTTTTTAATTTGTAAAGAAAAAAGAAAACTAATGTGAACTGTATATTTTAATCTTAAAAGAAATGAAAAAAAAACTTTTGGACATTCAGAACAGCAAAATGAAAAGATGATTTTGGAACATATGAATAGAATAGATCGTACAGACTAGGAAACAGTCCATAAATGATATTGACACATTATTGTGAAGAAAAAAGCTAGGGGTACACCATTTGGGGTATCCCATTTGTACCCCTCCATCTCCACCACACAAAAGTAAGAGAGGAAAAAGAATTTAAAAATGAAAAAAGAAATGGAGGGTTAAGATTGATGGTGTACAAATGGGGTACCCCAAATGGTGTACCCCTAGCATTCCTTTTTTGAAATCAATTTAGATGTGATAAGTTCAAATTAGATCAAAAAACAATTTTAAATATAATTATTTTTAGATAATATTAAAACTTATTCCAATCAGATCAGGTGAAAAGAACAAGTCTGAGCTATATTTTGGCTTCGCTATATTACATATGGCATTCGTATGTCAAAACCAAGGATTTACCATGACAATGAATCAACAATCCTGTCACGAAGAATCCTACTTTTACATGATCGTATGAAGCATGTTGACTCTGATTGTCACTTTGTGTGGTATGATCGAGGTTATAGCTAGTACATTGTCTATTCATCGTGTAATGTCTTCTAAGCGGCTAGCAAACATTCTGACAAAACCGCTTCCGTCCTTTCCGTTTTGAGTACCTCTTATCCAAGTTGCTCATCGTCTCCGTTGATCAGCTTCTTGCGAATAATTGGAAATAGATATTATTTATTTTTTACATTCTTTATTCTTTCATTTATTTATTGTAATGTTACTACTCGTATAATTCTTCTCTTAGTACATAATGAAGAATGCATTCCTATAGATAGGGATATATTCATTATTCAATGCCACCCATTAATATCAAATTATATCATATATGAATCATCGGAGGGTTCCTTTGACACTACAGTGCCACTAGGTGCTCTGTTTTGTCATTCGTAAAATTGATATTTCCTATTCTCTTAATCCTCATCATCCCAACCCGACGCGAACCCACTCATATCTCAGTAAGTTCAGTCCCTCAACTTTGGAGTCAAATTTTAAGTCAACTAAACTTTAGGAGTCCAATTGATGGGAAGGTTTAATTTGAGTCGAGTTAAGAATATTTATCGTGAAGCATAAATTATCAATTTTGCAGTGCAGCACCATGTTGCTCCAAACAGTCAGTGATATCAGAGTGACTTCAGTACCCAATGACAACGGAACCAATCCGATGACTCATAGATGACGTCAATTAATTCGAGTACTTGAGAATTCAATCTATAAAAATTGATTTCTTTTCCTTCAATCATTGAAAGAATAACCTCCATTTCAGTAGGTGAAAAGAATTTAATACACGGTAAATGTTATGGTTGCTTCAAGTTAAAAATGAAGTGAAAGTAACACTTTTCAAAGAATATACTTATATGAGATGTTTCTCACAATGAAATATTTTTTTTCTAGATATTCTAAAATCAATTTAACATTTATATTGTTTCATACTTGAGAAAGGAAGATGGGTAAGTATTACTGCCTCCGTCCCATTTTATAACGCCTGTTTCGGTTTACGATGTTTGACTGAAATTATTTTCAAATCATTTTATATGACAAATGGTATAGAGTTAAAAAATAAAAATTACATATCAAAATACTACATCAAAAGATCTACAAAACTAGTAGTGACAACAATATTTTATTGGGAAAAGAACTGAAATAGCACTACTGTATATGATTTAATACCTATTTAGCACTACTCCTGAAATAATTATTTCTGTCATTTTGGCGGATGCTAAATTCCGGTTTTGTCCCTGGGTATTAAATAGGTGGGTAATTGATTTGAACCTGGTAGTGGGTTTTCACGATTCTTGAGGACGGCTATTCAGGCGCCAAATTCGCTATCATAGGCTGTTGCATGCGCCCCGATTTTTGAGGTCGGAGATTTAGCCGGTTGTTTCGCACTTCCAAAATTATAATCTAGAAACATGAAGTGTGCAGAGATTGGGAACCCTGATAGTCCTCAGCCGGTGAGGAGACGCAGTCTGAGAATTGCAATGGAGAAAGATGTAGCTTTGCACACTGGTGGACAAGCAGTGTCAGCGGAGGATGAGCTGGATGAAGTTCCGCTTATTAAGCGAATGGAGAAGGTTCAGGTATGGTCTGTCATTTCGTGTGTGTAATGTTAGGCGACTTAAGATTGTATTTTGGCAGTATACATGTCCGTGTTTTGGCTTCAAATCTGAGGGGGTTGGGGATTTAAGAGTTATTTTGAAATTTGGTGGTTTCTAGGATTTCAAATTTTTACCAGAGCTGTGCAACGCCGGAATTTAGCTTTCAAAGAGTTGTTGAATATTGTAGCTGAACTTTTTTTGTGTTGGTTTTTTGAGTCTTGCAGTGATTGGTGGTTTTTTAATTTTTCTTTCTCATGTATAGATGTATTTAATTACTTCCCCCTGAACCCAATTGTTTTCGCATATTGCAGTGCGTTGTTTATTTGGTGGGGCTTCCTTTTCCTGATTGATAAGCTTTTTGTCATAAAATTGAGTATGTAGATAGGCACGATGTTCAGTTCAGAGTCGGTTTTGCGCTCATTTTTTTGAAGTTCGCATATTCGAGTGTGTCGTTATATTGTTTGGATGTGTGAGGGTGTGAATAATATTGTTGATGTGGGGTGTGTTTGTTTTTTTCTTGTTTATGGTGTGTGTCATGTTGTGGAAGTGCATGTGGGTGTAGCCACTTAGAGGTGTTGGTGGTGTTCTTGTAAATGGAATTGGGGTTTTTTCTTTGCTATTTTGAAAATGGTGGATGTGATCCTGACATTTCTAATGGTTTTTAGGGACAAATACATTTTTTTTATGTTAAAAGCGTTTTTTCAGATACTCCCAATATTTAGGTGAAGTTTTGTTTTCAAATTTTTTTTTGGATTATCCAAACTTGTTTGGGTGCATTGATTGTGATGAGTTTTTGGATGTGTGCTCTAATGTCGAAGTTTAGGTGGTTGTTGTGTTGTAGTGTTGTGTTTGGCACTATGGGCTTTTGCTATCTGTGGCATTGGAAGTTAATTTTAGTGGGTGCATTGCTATATTCTTTGTCTTCGGATTGCATTATGGTGGTCTGCCTGACTGGTATATGTATATATGTGGCAGTGGGGGATTGGATTTTGGATTTGACTTCACATTGCATTATGTGTGTCTGTGTGATTGGTACATGAATATTTGTGGTAGTGGGAGATTGTTTATTGGGAGATACTGTGTCTTTGGGAAATGTGGGAATACTGGCTGTCATCATTTTAGTGGTCTATGGTCTGTTCTTTGTATCTGGCAGTGTAATATGGTTTTTGTTTCATTTGATAGATCAAAAATGTTACCAACATTGGGTATTAGGTGTTGGTGTGTTCTGTAAACACCTTTTCAGTGTTTGATTTATTTCATGTCTATCGTGTGTTAACATTTTGGGGCAGATATTTTTGTGATGTGCTTATGTCTGGTTTGTACATTGTATAGGACGCGCAACGGTTGGGTAAGGGTGGTTGACTTGATCGTTGAATTTAAACACACTGCAATGTTAATGAGGTTTGAAGGCAGATTAAAACGAAACTAAGTCAGTAGGAGGTTAATAGGTTCAGGGCTTCGGCGTTGTGTGGTTCGTTGTGAGAGTGTGTGTGGTTGTTGTGAATGAGATAGTGTGGTGTTTTCGTTCATGTGGCAGTGGAAGGTTTTTTTCTGTGGAAATTTTGCATTATAGGGCTGATATAACATTCCATTTTCGTTGTTTTTTTTTCATTTTTTAATGTGATTAAATGTGGCATTGAGAGTTTGCTGGGGTTGTTTTTGTATGGTTTTTTGGTATCATGGTATTACTGGCTGACTTTTGTTTTAAGTGGATGGTTGTGTTGTCTATTACTTTTTGGTAGTGGGTTTTTTTTAATGTTGTTTGTTTTGGTTATGTCGTAGTGTATTCAATGTTGGGCAGTCGGTGTTTCCTTGGTCATACAGACATCGACCATATCCCTATTTATTTTAGATCTGTGTCTAGCCTACACTGGCAGATTTTGTTGGTTTTTTTTTGTTCTTACGAATGAATTATGCATTGTGTAGGAAGTGCAGAGGTTAGATAGAGGCGGCTTACTTGATGGAAGGATTAATACATACTGCAATGTGAATGAGGTCGCAAGACAAATTAGGGCGAAACTAAATCAAGAGGAGCTGGACAGATTTAGGACTTCAGCTTTTGGGGTGCTTTTAGATGTTCTGGATTGTCCATGGATCAGTGGGCAATTGCTCATCCATTTGGTAGGGAATTGTGTGCGGTCTACTGATGAAAGTGGAAGGAAGGACAAGTTAAAATTCAGGATCCTTGGTAATGAGGTGGTTTTGACGAAGGGGCAGTTTCATTTGATTACCGGTTTAAAGATGGGCGGACGCAGGGGGGTAATGGAAAATGGTGTGGGGGGTAGGTTTGTGGCGCGATATTTTCAGTCCAGTAAATCAGTTAAGAGAAAAGAAATCACCAAAGCATTCTTAAGGTTTAATCGCGATGCGGAGGGGACAATGCCGAGTGACGCGCTGAAGATGTCGTTGATTTACGCTTTGGAAAAGACGTTTCTAGGTAACCAGCCTTCGGTTAATTTACCCATGCATTATTTGAGTTTGGTTGATGACATAGAGGAGTTTAATAGCTACCCTTAGGGGGATGATGTGTGGTCGGAGTTAGTCGATCATGTGTATAGGTGTGCATTATGTATTGAGAAGGGGGGTAGCACCCGGCCTACCTTCGGAGGATACATGTTTGCATTACAGGTTTGGGCTTTTGAGACATTCCCATCGCTAGCCGAGGCTGGGATGTGTGTCTTGGATTCTGAGCGGGTGAATTCGATACCCCGGTGTCTGCGATGGAAGGTCTATGCAAAGTTTAACTCTTCGAAAGTTTCTGACGCTCTTTTCAAATCTGGGAAGGTTAGATGTTTTGTGTTTGTTTTATTTTTTGTTGTTTTTTGTACTAAATGCTTTTTATTAATAAAGTTTTGTTCCAATTCCAGCTTCATGTTAAAGATGTTGAGCCAACGGGTGATGAGTTGTTGTTGGATAATGTGAAAGAGCTTTTTAAGGATAAACCCACCACTGCAGTGAAGGCCAGAAAGAAGTTGTCACTTAGCCTTTCGAAGCGTGTTCGAAAGGTTAAGGAAAGGCAGGTGAATATACGCGATGCATTTGTTAGGCTGAAAACTGAAGGGAAAGCATCTGGAAGTGGGTTGAAGTCCGCAGTTAAAAGGGGTGGAACGGGCAGTGTCAAAGAAGAACATGGTGCGGTGGAGCGGGAGCGTAAAGGGAAGAAGGTGTGTGTGGCAAATACGGATAGTGAGCAGTTGGATATGATGAAGGAAATCAAGGAGATCAAGGAAAACCAGGATGCACAGGCCAAGAAACTGGATGAAATCTTGGGCATTCTTCGGCAAAAAACAGCGTCCGTTGAAGCCGGCTCAGCGTCTGGGAAAGGGTCTTTGATGGGAGGTAATGAAGAACCTAGGGTCCGGAATGAAGGACTCACTGTTGAGGGGAATACAGATGCTGAGTGTAAATGTGGGGTTGATCTGGATTTGAGTTGTGAGGATGGGGGGCCATCATTTGATCTTTTAACTCCATTGCCTAGAGTGGATGCAGTTGGTGCTGAGATACAAAATGACAAGAGTGGAAATGTTTTGGTGACAGAAGCGTGTGACCGAGTAAAGGAGGGAAAGTGTCCAGATATTCCATACACTGAGACACAATATGATCCACGCTTCCTGGATCTTATTGACAGGCAGAAAGAGATGATCCTAATGTCTTTACAGAACGCAAGCAGTGTAATGTGTTTTTTTATGTATTTCAAGGGATTATTTTATTTGATATAATGATTTTGGCCTTATAAATGTGTGGAATGACAGGTTCCTTTGGTTTCTTGCGAAGGGATTATTGGGCAGGATGCGATTCAGGGTGGGTGCAAGACAAGTGTGAGTGGTGATGATACTGCCAAGAAATCTGGTAACACTACAATGCCAGACGATGTGCATGTACCAGTGGAGGTTGAGTCCACATTTGGGGTTAGTTTTTCTGTGTTTTTGGGAAGGGACTAATAATTGCTCTTTCCAGTGATTTAGTTTTTTTCCAGGATGTTTTCGGGTCAATAACATTTCCGTTTAGTGTGATTTTATATGTGACGTTGTATGTTTTCAGGGGTCCAGTGGTTCAAACAAGGGGAAACTTGGGCAGCACATCGATGGAGGCAAACGTAGACGTAGCTTGGATGACGATGATTTTGAAAGAATTTTTACTAGCAGCCGGGTGGGAAGTGGGGGACAAGGAGTGAATGGTGCTCAAGATGCTTTGCTGGTTAGTGTTTTTGCAATATTTATAATGGGTCGTTTACTTGTCTTTTTAGGTTGAAGAATTTCATTACTTTGCATATTAGTGTTATGGCAGTGTGTAGTGTCCTATCTGGTGTTTTTTCCCTGAAACGGGTGTGGTTTTATTGTTTGTTCAGGTGTTTTCCATGGCTTCAGATTCCAATACCGAATGTGTTGAGATTGAACGTCCCAAAAGGGTTCACAAGAATCCGGAGAGATATACTCCCACAGAGGTCGAACATGATAAGAAAAAGCGGAAGCTGGGGAGGTTGGAGCGTGCTAAGCAACATCTGAATCATGATAGCTCGGTTGTATGCCATGGGCCCTTTTCAGAAGATCCAAAGGCGATGCCTACGAATGGGGAAATAGAAAAGGTGAGAGAGTTTTTGAATGAAGGCCTGCTGAAAAGGCAGGGAAGGGGGAATAGGACATGTCGGTATACAAGTAAGGTGGATAACATGACAAAAA